GTTTCCAAAAGCCTTCGGGAGCTTTTTGATGTTTTCAAATCCTTCGGTCATCTGTAAGTCCTTCAGTGCATGATGTTTCCAAAAAGCCTTCGGGAGCTTTTGATGTTTTCAAATCCTTCGGGTCATCTGTAAGTCCTTCAGTGCATGATGTTTCCAAAAAGCTTCGGGAGCTTTTTGATGTTTTCAAAACCTTCGGGTCATCTGTAAGCCCTTCAGTGCATGATGTTTCCAAAAGCGGGAGCTTTGATGTTTCAAAGCCTTCGGGTCATCTGTAAGCCCTTCAGTGCATGATGTTTCCAAAAGCCTTCGGGAGCTTTTGATGTTTTCAAAGCCTTCGGGTCATCTGTAAGCCCTACAGTGATGATGTTTCCAAAAAGCCTTCGGGAGCTTTTTGATGTTTTCAAACCCTCAGGGTCATTCATAAGACCTCTGGGCAGAATGTTTTCAACATTTCCATATTACTCAAAATAAGCTAAATGAAAAAAATTATTGTCTTTTTCGTCTTTGCTCTATTCTTGTTAACACAAAAATGAGCAAAGAGGGGCAGCTGTAAACACTAATTTTTTTACTATTATTATTATATTATTATATATTATTATATTAAATAAATATATATATATATATATATATATATATATATATATATATATATATATATATATATATAATATATATATATATATACAAAGGCCAAGATCGGGGCCTGATCACGAGCTAGCCAACAATAACCCTAAAACACAACTAGGGTTTCTTTCATCATCAGCCAGCCGTCCCAACCAATGGTCCAACATCCCAGCCGCCGCCTCCAAGCTTCCAGAACATCCACGCGGCGCCACCTCTACATCCAGATGATGCCGACGCCTTGCTTCCACGACTCTGCCTCAAAGAATCCTCCAGGAGTGCCACGAAGCCACCCACGTTGAACTCTATGGTGAGTCACCACCATAGCTATGGTGACTCACCACCATAGCTATGGTGACTCACCAGAAGTCCCCACTGGAACCGGTCTGAAGAACGTACCTCCATGGCTATAAAAGCCACCACACCTGCAAGAAAGAGGAAGATGGCAGAGAACGAAAAAAAAACCAGACAAAGAAACAGAAAAAAAAAGAGAAGAACCACCAATAACAGATATCAACAAGAACAACGAACCCACAGCAGCCAATATAACGGAAAGAGAAGAAAAGAAGAGAGAACTTACTCCGTCATTAGAGGCTTTCGAAACGTCGCCGGAAACCTTCGAACTTCGAAGGTAAAATCCTAGATCTAGGAAATACTATGGGGTTGTAGGGGAAAAGGATACCAAATTTGACTTTAGGGTTAAAAGAGCTTTGATTTGGTATGGTTTTGTAAGTTCCGGCCACCACTCACGGTGGCCGGCGGTCGTGGTCGGCGCCGGAGCACGGCTGCCGGCCGATGTCTCTTCATCTCCGTTTTAGAGAGATGTAGAGAGAATTCATCTCTCTCAGTTAGAGAGAGAGATGAAAAAAAGAAAAATGAAATCATGGCCCTAAGGGGCTTAAATAGGTATAAATACCCTCATCAAAACGACGCCGTTTTGGTGAGGGTATCTGTGTAATTTCACATATGAGTAAACCCCATCCGCAGTCCATCATCTTTGTAACTTTACATTTTAGTCACTAAATCAATTTATAATCCTTTTAATTCGGTCCTTTAATTTTAGATTTATTTATTTTAGTCCTTTCTATTAAATAATATATTTAGGATAAATACGTATTTAGTCCTTTAGTTTTAATAAATAATATTTTAATCCTGAGAATTTATTTTAATCTAATATTCAAATTTTTATAATTTTATTTAGTCACCAAATTAATAAATAAGGAAAATAGCATGTGATCCCTATAATTTAAATAATTAATTATGAATTGGGTATTTAATTTTATTAGATTATAATTTAGTCCATAGTTTTTTTCATTTATTTTACAAGCTTTATTATTTTTATACCATGTTTTAATTGTATTTTAAACATTATTAATCATATGTTACCTTTATATATTTATGTTCATATATTTAATTATCATTGCTATTATTATTATTCTTTATTAATTATGTCAATATATAGTCTTATAAATATATAATATTTATTTCTTTATCTATTTTCCTATTTAAAATTATTTATAAATTACTTTAAGAAAAATAATCATATTTTGATATTTATTTATTTTTAATATCAAAAAAAAGTTGTCTTAAGGTACCTAGAAGCTCTTTTCTGATATTTTTGAATAAATAAATATCTTACTATATTTAAAATAAAATGTTTTTGATATTTTTTTTAAATATTAAAGAAAAGAGCTGTCTTAAAGCACCTAGAGTCATTTTCTGATATTTTTTAATATTTTTTTATATAATTTTGAAATAATAGGATTATAAATTAAATATATTTTGAATTTTTTAATTTTTAATAATAGAGACAATTTATAATTAAAAAGTACCAATTTTGGGCGTTGTAGGGGTGCTAATCCTTCCCTAAACGTAATTGACCACGAATCCCTTTTTATTATTAAAAGAACGAATTTTGGTTATAAACGCAGATCAGTTATTTTTAATTGGTGTTTTTCTTAAAACTCTTTTAAAAAAAATTAATTTTTAGGTATTCGACCTACCTGACCCAAAAGGCCGATGGCGACTCCCAAATTATTTTCAAAACTATTTATTTACATCAATTTCCCGCCAAGTATAATATTTCATGCCCGGACGAAATCCGGTTACGACAATAGACAAATTTGACAGTTATCACTATTATAGACTTGACATCAACAGTCTTACAATCAATGAATTTATCTTTTTTTATCTTTTGAAAACTTCATCTATTCATTTGTTCTCTTACGACATCTTTCTCTCTTATATTAAAAACATCGACTAACGATCATTTTCTCTTTGACTATAATTCTTCACTCAAATAAAAAAAATGAATTATTTATGGCCAACTAAATAAATTTATTCTCATCAACAAAAATTAATGTTTATAAAAGAAGCATGTTGAAACTCCCAAACTGAATTAACCATATATACAAAAGTTTGGACAAGAGGACAAGATGTTGGGACATTTGGTCCAAACAAAAGATTGTGTGCATCAACAACCACGCCTATGCTTGCCTCTCAAACTAACATTATTTCATTTTTCTTGGTGGCATATTCTTGAATTACTCATGGCAGCTGCTTCCCCCATGGCCAGCCACCTAAAGTCAAGCTTCACTTCTCCAACTCCAAGGACCTTGCTCTCTCCCACGGGTCTCTCCACTTCTCCACTTAGAATCTTGCCTTCTAGTTCCAGGAGCCAATCTTCCTTCACCATCAAAGCCGTCCAATCCGAGTACGTTCAAAGCTTTACAAAATTTCAATTATATTATGTTTTTCTCTTATTGTTAGACACAGTGATGGATCCACATATATATATTGGAGTGGATATTATTAGACACAGCTATGGGCGACGATATTGATGAAATTAGAGTAAAAAAAGAGATGCGAGTGACGATACAATTCCAAATTTAACATTTTGTTAGTGTTCCAAAGAGAGGAATGGGGTTTCTATTTCATGTGTCATCCATTCAATTGCCATTTCCCATCTGTCCCCATTCCCTCGTTCGGATCTTGTTCTTTTTCTTCCCTTTGAAGGAATTTCGCTAATATTTAATCTGATTATATTTTAATGTAAAGCTGTCGGCCAAGAAGGTGTCGTGGTGTAGTTGGTTATCACGTCAGTCTAACACACTGAAGGTCTCCGGTTCGAGTCCGGGCGACGCCATTGTTTTTTTGGTTTCCTGGTCTGGTTATCCTAGAACGTCGAAACACGCTATGAGAAATCACGGAACCGAAACTTTCATATTTCATGAATTAAAATTGAAGAACGGAAACCAAACATTAATATTTTGGAATATAATTGTTAGTCCATGAGTTTCCTAAATATTAATGAAGTAAACTCTCTCTCTCTCTCTCTCTCTCTCTCTCTCTCTTTCTCATTAACGTAAACTCCTTCAGATAAGCATTCTGTAATGCCTGATCATGCATTTGGCTCTGATGTTTTATTTTGTATCATGGCTTTTGGAGTTGTTCAATGTGTACCCACCATTGCCTAGCACAAACTTCTTTAATGCCGAATTGCTAACCACACTGACTTGTCTGAACTGAATCCTGCTTCCCATGTAAGTCGTAATCCATCAAAACTTGCAGCCCAAAGCTCCGGTTGGGTGACTCAACATGTTCCAGTCTTCCTGCTGAATCCAATTACAACTCAGCTGATGCTCTCAACCACTGTTCGTTTTGACCGCTCCATCCCTGTTTCATTTAACCCAACTTGCGTATCCATCTGATCTGTTTAAGCACCCTGCGATTCTTTTTCTTTCCTCTATTATCACTCTTTTTAATGTTAATACTTCTCCTTACACTTTGGTCTATAACATTATCTTTCCACAATAATCGACATTACTAAAAAGGCCTTAACTCCCATGCTTCCATAACCATCAGGGAATAAATCCAAGAAGAAAATTTTGCTATTTGTATATTATAGTGATGAATCAAGGGGAGCAATCGAGTGATGGTCGTCCTCTAAAAAATTTCAACTTTTTATGGATAATATGTCTTTACTCGTTAAAATTTTATAATGTTGTTCCCTAACAGAAAATCTTGACATGCCCCTATTAATATTATAATTACACTTACATGAATCTTTTCAAGTAACCAACTAGAGAATTACTTAGGTGATTTTAATAATTTGAAGAATTATATGCTGAAAAATTAAGTATTGAATAATCAATTATAAATATATTTTTTTACATATTTTTATTTAAAAAAAATATAATTAATGAACTTATCAAATATTCTTCATGATGAAAGAATAAATTTTTCTTAAGAATTTGTAGATTCAAACGGTTAATGCGCGCATTGTCAATTAACTCAGCTTCTCACATCCCTAGGCCCAGCCCATGAAAGCCTTAAGCAGCAGTACCACTCATTTTTCTCTCCATAGCATGAGCCGTAAATCATCCCCGAACGAGAAAAAACCAGCTTCACTCTGTGCTCCTCCAATGGCCAAGGCTATTTTAACAACTCGTCCTTACATCTTCTCATCAGCTAAAACCAATTTTTTCCTTAACTATTTCCCACTCCTTTCCAACTCCAGAAAATACACGTTCTTGGCAATCAAAGACCATCTGAACTCAAGCTTGTTTTCATCTTCCAGCATTAATAAACCAGTCAACAATGGTGTTGTTTCAGAAACCAGGTCTGGAATTTTGGGTCACCGCAGGTTTTCCATAAAGGCCACTCATTTTAATGATCCCGACTCTTTTGACTCCCCTCTCATGCAATCTATGGAGAAAAAGGTAATGCCTTTTTTTTCCTCTTTCCTTTCTCTGTTGGATTTTATTCAGAGTTCGAATTTTTCTCCCTATGGGGTTGATATTTAGTTGTTTCTGCTTAGTCTGGGAAATGACATATATTGCTTTTTCAGAGTTACTCGAATTTCTGGTTTTACTAATTATTTGAATTTCTCTTAATGCCTATAGCTGGGGATGTCTAAGAAAGTCAACCTAATAAAAAGCTAAAGAAAGAGCTAACGAAAATATTAATTTCGTTACTTGAAATTAATATTTTTGATAAAAAATAATATTTTAATATTAACATTGCCGGTAGTACATTTATCTTATTCGGCTGTGGTACAGTAGAACTACCCTAATAGCTTGAATAATTTACCTTAGGCTCTTGGGTTCAATTTGTTGTCAAGTTGATCAATTAATAGTTATATAAAACTATATCCATGGGTGATTGAAAGGTCTTATTTAAAAGGGAAAAAGGGGACTGTTATGAAGTATGAAAATAAATAAGAAGCTTTTTAAAATTAGTTTGGTCTCTTTAAGTTATCAAATGCAAATGAAGACAGAGAACAAGATTCATGGTATTGGATTTCTATGCTTTGAGAATCTTTATTTAAGGTTGAAAGAGTTTAATCTTCATCAGAGGTGGTGTATGTAAAGCTTGTTGGAAAGGAAGGAAATATTATTAGTTGCTGATTGATCATTGTCTAAGGCTCCACCACCCTTGTTACGGTGAGGGTGCCTCCAACCGGACTCTCATATGGAGCATAAGGCAAATTTCGTATAAACATTATTACTATAGAAACTTTATTTCCTTGTTGATCCTTGTAGGAAATAAAAGCATTCGTAATTCAAAACAAAAAGGTATTATGACTATGTATTGCCCCTTTCCATCTGCAGTCAAAACTATTCATTACATGCACTTGTACCTATGACTTAAGAAAATTCTAAAGCAAGCTTCAGTCAAGCCCTCATCATGCTTTCGAAGAATTGCATTCTCGTGGTTAGGACCTTTCAACAAAAAAAAATCAGCAAATGGGAAAAAGTTGCTTTCATCATTTTTTAAACTTGGAGTATCAAAGGAAAAGTCCCTGTTCATTTTAAGAAATATTGTCCGATTATTTAATTACAGTAATAGCATCTGAAATATTTTTAAATTGTTATATTATCTACAATTAACTGTTCAAAAGTCCTATTGTTCCCTTGACCTCAAATAGCATAACTGTTTGATAACAAGTCCTTTTTCAATATATCTCAGAATTGGATGGTCACCCCTTATGAAACAGTCAATACAGGGACACTGGTGGCATTCTTCCAATGAGTCTTTAGAATAATCACTATTAGTTTTTCATGTGTTGAAGTTACCTATTAGTTTTTTATAAGGCTTTGTATTGGATCAAGATGTCCGGGGTGAAAGCAAATCGTAGCATGGCTGAAGTATAAAAATAAGACTAGTTTTGTTAGAAAGGAAAATTTTCCCTGCAATAGATGATGCTTTAATGCTGTCCAAAATTATCTAGTCAAGTGTTGAAGGAGCTTGTATCAATATCAAACGTGAATTCAATTTTTCTCTGCAATAAATGATCATTTAGCTGTTGATCGATGCTTGTTATTAGAGAGAGTATAATTCATTTATACTGTCTTTGATCTTATTCAAGTTAATGATTAATTTGCTTCCACAGATCAAGGAACATTTAAATGCAGAATCAGTTACTGTAAAAGATGCATCTGGAGATGGCCGACATGTTTGGTAAGATGTTTTCACTGGTTGAATTGGTTGATTTGCCTAAACAACTTACTAAGAGCTGCAGTGGCTTCTTGTTTCATTTTCAATACTTTTTTTGGAACTTCTTGAATGTTACGGTGAATCCACATGACTAGTTGACATTCATATCGGTCTGCAGCAATGCCTATGATTCCTTTGCATTTTCTGTGTGGAAATTGCATACATGCAAAGTGCATTTTCTTGATATGAGGTTTTGTGTCTGTTACATGGACTCAAATGTGAGTGCCAGATTACTGGCATGTGTTTGTCATAATATGTTCTTTAATGTTTTTTCCTATGTACTTAGAGAATCATCCCGTACTCATGTCCAAGTATGCATAGTTGTGAGCACTTAAATGAAGAGTCGGAGCAATGTATGATTTGTTGATTCTAGCATGCTTTTCTTCATAGTTTACAGGATTTCTAAACGGTATTTATCTCGGATATTGCAGCATCAATGTAGTCTCTTCAGCATTCGAAGGACAATCGGCTGTGAATAGGCAGAGGATGGTTTACAAAGCCATATGGGAGGAGCTGCAAAACACAGTGCATGCAGTAGACCAGATGACTACTCGAACCCCCAACAAAGCAGCAAGTCAGAAGTGATAAAAAGCTTTTGCCAATATTTCCAACCCTAAAACCGAACTCCTAATAAGTCTCCTTTTATTCCCTGCTTTACGAAAAGGGTCTTCATGCTACTAGCAGTTTGTATTCTTCCTCTCCTTTGTACTCCATTTACCTTGACAATCAAAACTTGCTGTAGACCTGCAAAGCATAAGACTAGAAAAATGAAAGACCCGAATTTACTTCATTTTGGCTTTTATAAGCACAATGGCTTCCAAACTCTGATTGTTCACATTGTTTTTTATTAGAGCTGTTCATGGTTTGTATATTAAATGTTTGAGCTCGAGTTCGACCCATTTTATAAAATGGTATTTTTTTTTATCCGAGATCAGACTTGGTACTTTTTGTCTAAGCTTTTTGGTATTTGCTGGCTACATGACTAATGGATCGTGCCCTCCTTAAACAAGGTGGTTGCAGGACCCTCTGCGAGTCTAGACAAAATTTCAAAGTTAAGACAGCAACACAAGATATCTCGAGAACACAATACTTTTTGGTTACGAGTAACACTAATCTAATAATCAAGAGATCCTCCAACACACTTCGTCGCCTTCATCATCTCTACTACTATTTTTGTTAGGATATTCAATCCTTGCAGTAAGAAAACAAGTCACCAGCTCCCCCCAAGCCTCCTACAAACCTATTACGGTTCCTTGTCAAGCCATTGCAACACGTCAAGGCCCTTTCTCTTCCCCCACGTGAAAGAAATGTCCCTGTTTATACCCTGTATATAGGCTCAAAGCCCTTAATCGTCATTTCCAGTCATTCCCTTGCCCATCAAACCACAGCTCCGGAATGGATAATGGCTAGTTTGGTGAAGCACCAACAAATCCAAGACAAGTTGTTCGAGGAAATCAAAAGGGTTGTCTCAGATGGAGCAGTAGAGGTTAGGGATGAAGATTTGGGTAAGATGGCATGTCTTAGAACTGTTATCTCATAAAGTTATTAGAATCAAACTCGAGCTCTAATATGAATCAGAAATTAAAACAATATCTTTTTGTCTATATATCACATGCTTAGTTGACGTAACTTAAAATTTAGTACTTATTTTTGCAATTTTTTTGTACTACGAAAATGAAGGTATAAGAACAAAATCTTTTATATTATTTTTTTCTTAAATCGTTTGCATTAAGTGATTAACATTTTTTTCTCAAGAACAAAATTTTAATCATCCATAAGATCATGTTTTACATTCTTCAAATATACCGAGTAAACTTATTATTTTATAAATATGTTTTTATCTCAACAAGATTTACAAAATGTAGGCAAATTCTTCAAAAGGTTTTATACATACAAAACTTAAGAAACTCCTAACGTTTATGTCAACGTAGGTATAAATTACTATCTTTAGCTCATTCAAGCAAACCTAATAAGTTTTCCAAGGTATAAGAAGAAATTTACATGTAAGGCTTCAACCTTTTCCTTTGATTTTTTATCACAAAAGTATATCTGTATATATTCAATATTTCTTTATAAATTAATACGTTAGTACATTTTTGGTGTTCCAAACTTCCAATCTTGGGGCCTATCCATGCTTGCATTAATTTTAGTTCCAAAAAAAGGTTAAATGCCCCTTATTCCTAACCTACTAGCTAATTTGGGTTGGTATTCCATCACACCACTGTTTAATTGAACATTCACAGTGATATGATGGGGTTTTAATGCATGCTTGATCATCGTCTCTCCATACTAAAAATAAGGGTAAACTACATATTTAATTATCCATCTATTCTCGTGGTTCTGTTTTGGTCACCCAACTAATTTTTTTTCTTCAAAATCATATTTAACGTTAAGTTTTGATCATTTATCGTTAAAAAAATTAACGGCGTCACCATAAGATAATATCACGTCACTATTGAAAAATATATAAAAAATTACCACGACAATGTTTTTGTTTGTTTTTTAACAATAGGGGACTAAAATGTAATGTTTCGTATGGTTTTGAGAAAAAAATAGTTGGATGACTAAAATGAAACCGTAAGAATAAGAAGGCGACTAAATATGTACTTTACCCTAAATATTAAAATAAAATTTGTATTTGCAATATTTCAGATCCAAAATATGAAAACAAGAAATTTGAACACTACCATGTAATTAAAAAGAAGAATGAACTCATGATGGTGTGTTTTGTTCCCAAAGACATGAAAATTACTAACTTATTTAGCTTACCAAAGAAAAAGAGAGAGAATAAAACACTGAAACAGATCATATTTCAAGGTTGAGAAAGCTTAACCATGTTTTCCCTGCAGGCACGTGCATTGTCAATAACTATAAAGATTCTATACTATTAAAAAAAGTTACTTTGAGTCAATCCGGACTATTAAAAAAAGAGCTTAACCATGTTTAGCAAATCATACGGGCTAGACCGTTAGACCATATTTAGCTGAAGCTGAAGCCCCCGAACCGTCGCCATTGGTGTGGCGATTGTGTCTCCTCGATGGACCAGAAGGAGGAATGGGAGCACCCTTGGTGAGAAGACTGAAGGAATATGCTTTGTTCAAGTTCATCACTTTATTCTGATTCTTATTATCTTCTTTCTGTTTGTTTCTGAGGCTTAAATCATGGACTCTGTACAAAGCTCCATTGCTTGAAGGAACAGAAGAAAAACAAAATTGGATAAAATAATCTGACTGGTAGCCATCAAAATGAAGGGGAAACCAAAAGAGATTACTATTGAATTGGTGTGGGGGTTTGCAGGTTGTTGGATTTTGCATAATGGAAATGCTGTGAGAGAGGCTGACTAAGATTGATTCTCTTGTATTGATTAACAAAAAGGTTTAAAATATATACTCTATTGATTCTCTTATATACTAAATGATAACATCCACACTATTAATTCTCCTATGTAGTAGATGGTAACATTCATGTTCTATCGACTCCACACATATTTTATTTGGTTTTTGATTGTTACAAGTTCTGGGGAAATTTGTCATGGTGGCTTAGCAGATCAATAGGATAGTTAAGGGCTTATTAGCCCTCACATAAATTTTTAAGTCAGTCATTTATTCTACATTTTTATATCTATTTTGTTGCATTATTATGTTTATGTTACTGATTCCGATATAAATCTCTCTTTTCTTTGATATATGTAAAATTAAATTAAAATCAATGTTTTATGTGTAGAATTGAATCAAAAACAAAATTCGATTTGTATAATTAAACCAAATTAAAGTTCATGCATCGCATTATATATTTGACTAAAATTCATATGTAATTTTGACATTTATCTCAAATATTTATAGTTCAATGATTTTTTTTTCTCCAAATCTTAGTGTGACTTGGACTGATCTAAATCCAAAAAGAAAATTTGAAAATAAAATAATTTCAGCCTTGAAAATTTCGAATAGGAAATGATCTAAATTTAAAATAATTCGAATATATAAACAATATGATTCTAACCTGCCTTAAGCTACCTAGGTGTGCACACTAACAAGTAATGGAAATACTTGAAAGATAGGTAGTATACTCCTAGTGATTTTCTTAAGTTCACTAGTTTTACACCACATTGTTGCTACTTGTATTTGCAACATGAATTGACGTAGTAGACTCATCAATTGTACTTTTAGAACCATGACTTTCACTGGATGTTTCAAGCAGGAACTGGAAAGGCCTAGGAGGCATTCCAACGGGCTCGACATCGGTTTCGAGCATCTCCAACACTTTACTCATCGGAGGTCGCTCATCGGGTTTTAATTGTATACACCTAAACGCTGTTACCACCATCTTCTTTGCCAATATCTTTTCATCATACGTTGCATACCCCAACTCGACATCAGCTCCTCGATCAAATTGGTCATAAATCCACGACGGGAAGTATTCTCGACTTGATTGTTCAGCAAACGTATTCAAATTCTTTCTCATTCCTATGATTTCCAATAACAACATCCCGAAACTATAAACATCGGCCTTATAAGATACGCCTCCGATGTTTCGATAAACTAATTCAGGAGCAATATATCCGATCGTACCTCGAGCTGCGGTGCGAGACACGATATTATCTTCTACCGAATATAATTTTGCTAGACCGAAATCCGAAACCTTCGGAATAAAAGTCTCGTCGAGTAGAATATTGTGTGGCTTGATATCGAAATGTAGAATTTGCATATCGCATCCTCGATGCAAGTAATCAATCCCTCGAGCCACTCCCAACACAATATCAAACTTCTTCTGCCAACTCAAAGTGACCTTATTTTCTTTTGCAAAAATGATCTTGTCGAGAGATCCATTCGGCATGAAATCGTATACAAGAGCTTGTCTCGATCCTTCCACACAAAACCCTATAATCTTTGCCACATTAACATGATGAATTCTTCCGATAGTTGCAACTTCATTAATGAAATCCTGCCCATTTGCTTTTGAACCCAACAATTTTATTGCTACAATAAGACCGCTACGAAGCCTCCCTTTAAACACCATGCCAAAACCTCCTTCACCTAGTTTATCTCTAAAGTCTCTTGTCATTTTCTTTATTTCACGGTAAGAATATCGGATCGGCATGAAACTTTGGTTGCGAAGGAACTCTTCGATGGCATCGTCGGCGGATAAATGTCGTCTCCGCCATCGGTATGTAACAAGTGCAGTCAAGCAAAATATCCCGAGCAAAGTTCTTGGTATGAAGATTCCTCCTTCTCAAGAGAAGTATTGTAGAACATTAGTATTTAGGGACGAAAGCATTATTGCTCATAAAGACAAGTATTATTTGAGCTAAACTCACCTGTTATTTGAAGACAGAGAATATATGTACCTGTAGGAATAAGTAAAATACAATTATTGCAACAAAAGGGGGGTGAAAGTGCAAAATGAATGAACTTTAGAAAGCTTACTGTCCGGTGGATCCATATTATTATAGGAAATATGGGGGCCTTTGAAAAGAAAATAGACAAAGCTGTCCACATAATTTCTCAAGGCATATGCCAAACCTGCCAATCTGGAACACTCAACTCATCAATATAAGACCAAATTATCAATGCAATAATGTATACATATAAAATGGAAGTGTTGGAAAATTCTTACATGTCGTGAAATGAAAGCTTGTAACATGTGTTATTGTAGTCTTTCCATGACATCTCAACGCCCATTAATAGCCTTTCGTAGATGTCCGATGTAGACAGGCCTCTGATACTTCGATACATGATCGGAACCTGAGCTATGACCGTGCAGGATTGATCAAAATCAGGCGGTTTTGTTTCTTCATCTAAAAAATAAAAGTATGAACCAGTTGGATTGGTGCTGCAACGAGCTCGCGAGGCCTTGACGTAACCAGCAGATTTAATCGGCATCGTGCAGTTCACAAGAAACATGGTGCTGAATTCACCAACAAAACCTCCAGGTCGATACGAGGTCGCCCCACACTCGGAAAACCGAACAGATACAGAGCTGAGAGGAAGGGAGCAATCATCGTCAAGACTCTTGTCGACGACTCGTATCGTTAAATTTCGATAGAAGATGTCTTGGACATTGAATTTTCCGCTTTCCAACTCTAGAGTGGTGAGGTTATTGTTGTGGCACACGAGTTCAAGCCTTTTGTCACCGCACCTGCTAGGCTGGCCTTTTAATCGAAAAGGGTATCCGATGGAAACGTTCCCACATGAAATAGAGCCGCAATCGTTTCTTTGTCGGGCAATACAAGGTCGAGGGAGTAGAAATAAAGAAATGGCGGCCATTAGGCCTAACAAGAGGTCTGGTTTTGGCATACTAAGAGTGATTCCGAGGAAGACGATTGATGAGAACAGATATTGTAGGTTAACAAGTTTAGTATTTTATTGACTCTTCTATGTTATCATGTGGTGTTAAATGAAAGCAGGTCTTTTGTTGAACAGTCGAAGTCTCTATTATCCTGCGATATTAAATGAAAGCAAGTCTTAGTTGAATAGTTGAAGTTAGCCAAGTGAAAAAGTTTAAAACTTTTTAGGGTAAACTACCCAAATCATCACTTTTTTATTTTTCTTTTATTTTAATCACTCAACTCCCGAAAAATATATTTTGGTCTCTAAAGTTATTGATTAATTGCAAATTGTTAAGAATTATGGAAGATAATATTGGAAAGCAATTGATCGTAAATCAAAAGGAAAAAGAGAAAAATACATATATTTACGTGGAAAACTCTTGACGAAAAAAAGCACATACAGAAGAGAAAATTTCACTATGATCAACAATAATATTACAATAGGACTGTGAAAAGCATAATCTGCATCTTATAATCTCTATAAAAGTCTAGATATATGTGTGTGTACGAACACTAAACCCTAAATATATGTAGGTATTGGCCTGAGAGACTCTTCATCCATCACGTCTCTATTTTTCCTCCTAATTTTAATCCTTCACTAAACAGGTCAGACCATGAATTATATAATCCAAACAATATAAAATTCTGGTCACAATCTCTAACGCACTTTGACATGAATTCTAAAATTACAAGGATCTGAGGTAAAAATAATCTAAATAAAACATATTCTTACCTCTTCTACAAAACCCCTTACGAGTATTAATCAACAACGAATATCGATTAAATCCAAACATGAATTTAAAGAGTTTCACAACAGAGTTTAATCTAACAAATTTATGCTTTAAGGTATTTTTAAAAATATAATCAGAAATTTATGCTTTAAGGTATATTTAAAAATATAATCAGAAAGTTTAATCTAACAAATTTGTGCTTTAAGGTATTTTTAAAAAGTTTCACAACAGAGTTTTAATAAAAAAATCGATGGTGTTAACAAATTGGACTGAGAGATAACACTATAGAAATGAATAAAAAATCAAATTGTTCAGAATTAAAATAGAGGGGCTAAATTACGAATTTTTGCATGATAGAATCTAAAATTACATTTTCCTAGGGGTGTGCAAATCCGGGTACCTGGAACTTCCGGGTCGACGATTTCTCGGCCCGTGTCCCGACCTAGATGTTACAAGTACCCGGTAATCGGGTACCCGATACCCGGTTTTTAATTTTTTATTTTCAAATTATTAATTTAAAAAAATATATACACAAATTTAAATGTTCGAAACTTCGAATTACATACTCTAATATCCGAACATAAAATTTAAAAGTTCGAAATACAAAATATAATAATCCATAATATAAATAATTCATTATATTTTATATAATTATATATAAAAATTAAAAAATAAAATAAAAACTAAACGGGTACCCGGGAAAACTAGATTTTGTGCCGGGAAATGTCGGGCCGTGTACCCGACCAGGCCGGATAATTTTTTTTAGAGAATTACCCGATTTTTTTAGATCCGGATCGGCGGGTCGACGGGTCAGGTCAACCGGGTCGGGTAATTTTGCACACTCCTACATTTTCCTCCCCGGAAAAGAAAATCCAGAGTGACCTCGAGTACTTTGCCAAAAAAAATTTATGAAATAATCTTAGAACATCCTTATTTTAAAAAATAAAAAATAATTAAATTATAATTAAGTAATTACAAATTTCGGACTCGAACTCATTTTTTATTCGAGTCCGAAATACTTTGTAGCAGTTGAATTTGTCAAGGAAAAGGATAATATCATTAAACTGAGAGAGGTAGACGTTTGTCTTATAAAAAATCTGTTATGAGAATATTTTAAAAAACAGATTCCTCGCAAAATGTGGAACTAGTATTGTATTGGTGGTGTTGTTGAACGTTTGTTTTGCTTTTTCTTTCAAATCTTTTTCAACAAATGGAAATTTACCAATCAAAAGTGTTTTCTTCCTCTATTACTGCTCTCACTGTCTTCATCAAGGTAATGATTATTATTTTGTACAATGTGACTTTGAATCCTATATTTCCCAGACCCATGTTTCTTTTTCTGTTTTTTCTTTAACATCGTATGTAATTTTTAATAAAGATTTCTGTTAATGTTATGAATGTTTTTAGTTGCTGTTGATATGTAGCGTTGAATTGGCCTAATATTGTCATACTGATCAAGGGAACCCTACTGTGTTTTTGCACTGTTCTGGTTTTCATGCGAAAGCTGAAACCGAACAACGACTTGACTGAAAGGCGGTATGCAGGTGTTGAATCTTTGAGTTGATTTTCCGGATTCTGACCGGATTCCGCCTTGTAACTCTTTCTTGTTTGTTGTTCTCAGGATGTCTAAATCTGTGTCGTCTACGGGATTGGAAGTTCGTGTGGGAAGTATGCCTTTTGCCCTGGACAAAGTGAGTAATGTTCCGAGACAACCTTCATTTCATTGATGACTTCTCCTTTCATGAATTGACATTATAATTTTGGATATGATCATTACCATCTAGGAACTTCTGGGCTTCTGGGCTCAAAATCAGCTGAAGTTGCTGCCTTATTTAAAGAGAATTCCAATGCAGATCTATCTTGCTTGCTCCGTGACACTCCGGCCGATTCGGAGACTTTCGAGCTCGTTGCAAGATTCTGCCATGGATACGCAATTCAGATGTCCTCTGAAAACATTGTACCACTCATCTGCCTGCCTTTCCACTTGGGGATTGATGAAAATCACTGCAATGACAATCTGTTAAGCAAGGCTGTTACTTTCTTTGAGCGGGGAGTACGCCCTTGTTGGAACGAAATCATCAAGGCTTTGCGCTCGTCCGAAAAGTCCCTTCAACAGATGGTGCAACTCGGTTTATTCGATGCCTGCTTACAGGCTATGGTTGCAAAGGGATCTGATAACCCACAACATCTAGGGGAACGAATAATCATATCGAGAAGTGACGGTGATAGTGGTGATAAGCCTAATGCAAAGAGGAGGCTCTTTGCTCTGGATTGGCAAGAAGATTTAACAACATTGTCTCTCCAGCTATATGAGCCTATCATTTACACAATGAAACAGCAATATGATATTGAGTGTATAAGGAGGATTCTGAAAGTGTTATACGGTAATTACAATAGCTCCGATGCTTCGGGATTTATCACGGTTGCAGAACTCATGGAAGAGTTCTTGGCAGAAGTTGCTTGTGATGTAGATTTAATGATAGACACTTTCATTTCACTTGCAGAGATGTCCATGGCAGCAGCATTAGGAACAAAGAGAAACTCGGACGGAATATACCGGGCCATCGACATATACTTGGAAAAGCATGCTTATCTGACAGAGAAGGAGAAAGAAGAGGTTTGCAAGGTTTTGGATTTCCGGAAAATGTCAGCCGAGGCTTGCGAACACGCTTCCAAAAACGAAAGTTACCGGTGAGAGTAGTAGTGCAGGTGCTGTTTATGGCACAGTTGCAGCTGCGGGAAACGCTGGCGCGGGTGGCGACTTATGACGACGACAAATCGGGGAAAGAAGAGGAGGAGGAAGAAGATGAAGCGAGGGTGGAAATGGAGAAAATGAGCATCAAGGTGAAGGAGCTTGAGAAGGATTGCCATGAAATGAAGAAAGAAATCACGAATGGAAGCAACAGGCAAAGAGTAAATAAAGGGAAACTGAGCTTGTGGAGTGAAATGAATAGGAAATTTGGGTGCTCCAATAACATGGATGTCCTCCATTGCCCTACCAAGAAAAAGAAAGTGCATCCAAAATGGGGCATCATCTGATTTGTTTTCCTTATTTGCTGTTCAATTTTCCTTTTTAAACATTTTTGTATTTCCTTATAACTTTTTAAACATGTAATTTAGTCAACTCTTGACCTTTAACATATATTCGATGCATAAAATTGTCCTTGATATTTAATTATTTTGACCCTTATTTTTTTATTTTGAAACATTTTAATTCTCAATATTTTATTTTAAGTAAAAAGACCCTTATATGAACGGAAACCATTAATTAATAAATGGTTAATGCTCCAAAACAGAAGTTTTTTACCTTAAAATGAAACATTAAGAATCAAATTGTTCTAGAAAAAAATTAAGGGCTAAAATAACTATTCAATCAATCGTTATGAGATTTTTGTCCTAAAATGAAATATCGAGACTAAAATGCTAAAAAAATGAGAATATAGACCAAAATGACTATTTTGATAAATATTGAGGGCGAATTTTGGCATTATGCCTATATTTCAAATAAACCTAGTTTGTAATTTATACCTAAATAAATCTTGACATAAATCAACATTTCCCTTGAAATAAGAACTTAATTACAAACCAAAAGTGGTAATATACAAACATATATATAAAGGGGTGCAAGTATAATCCATTAAATTATTGGATTAAAATCGAGAAGCCAATATCAATGGGGCAATATTTCTCATGCTCCTTTCACAATATTATCAACAAGTTTACATTTGGTTCCCTACAAAATGGATTTTCAAGATTTATGGTTGACATTGTAATTCCATCTGCACCAACATGTCTGGTGGCCTGCAGCTAAGACATGTTCGGATAGCTGTTGGCCGACATAGACCTATTTTTCAGAGCTGAATATCAAACACAAACATCGACGATAGTCCAGCTAAGACTTGGGATTCAACAGCAATGCAATGCAATGCAAATAATCATCCCTGCAACCAACAAAAATCCTGCCTCCAATCATAACAGGTGACGAAAACACATCCCCCTCCAGCTTAAGCCTTGTGAATTCCTGCACTACATGTTTTCTTTGATGATTTCTGGTCCCTTTGTTCGAGTTGATTCGAAACAAAAATATGCCTCCAGTGCTAGTACAAACACAAACCAATCTGCAAAATAATCGGAAGAACTTGTTTAAAAAGAAATGTCTGCAATTATCTTATAGTATTGGTGAAGTTTGTTTACCTTTCAGCTGAAACGGAGGGGTCATTTGAAACCACCTGTAAGTTCTCATCAACATAGGCAGATGCAGTGATTGGATCACCAACATTTACTTCCCAGAGCAGTTCACCTTTTTCCTGAAGTGATCTCTCATGGAGATTAACGTAACGGAAAATATAGTCTCAACAGAAATAAAAGAGAATAGTATTCTTTAACTTGGAATGAGTTTTGGGTGAAACTTTTGACTTTCTAGGGTTTTGCATAAGATTTTAATAAATCACTTCAATGTTAAGATATAATGGCTTTGTGGACAAAGAAAGTACTAAAACATGTGTATCAATCCCAAATATTGAAAAATGTGAATCGACATATATCAATATTGAAGGTAATTCATTTGATTGGCACGAGCAAATGATTTTTCAGGCACTTTAGCTGGCAATATGGCATGAGCTTGAATTCTCAAGTCATAGCAGAAAAGAAGAAAAGAATGATAAGGTAACCAGAGTGGCAAAAACATATTTCATGTATATACTAGTGTATCAAATCAATTCTCGCTCTTACCGTTTCAAAGGAATACACACTTCCATTCCGGGAACAGATTAGCACCTGTAGGACAATTGCATAGACAGAATCTCAGTCGAACCATAATTTTCTACCATGTTCATATTCTGTGGGATCACAAAATGATATAAATATAGATGTAATTGGAGAAAGTACAGGCATGAAAAGTTAAAACCAAGGGAAATAAACTCAACTCCTTTCCTCAACACTTAAATTACAGTCGAAACTCGAAACAGAGAAATCCTGGAAAAAATTTCACCATCTCAACTCTAAATATGTGATAATTTTTTACTAGTTTTAATCTTAACTCAAAAAATGCATTACCTGAGAAGGAAGCGCAGAAGATAAGCCAGCTCCAGCAAATATTGGACCACCAGTTCTCCTCTGTATGAGAAAATAACTTAGGAGAAAGAAAAAATATTTTCGAAGAAAAATAATCAGCATGAAAGTAAAAAGAAAAAATAAGGAAAAATCATTGTGTAAGAGAAAAGTAGGAACAGACCAAGGAGTATTTTCTTAAGAGGGAAAACTGCAAGCTTTTTAGTGATGATGGAAAGATACAGAAAAAAGTACCATATCCATTTGGTGAACTGATGGAAAGTGACCCAAATACTGGCACCTCAAGTTCATGTAACCACAATGTAAAAAACGGCAATTCCTGTAATTATAGAGAATAGAACAATCAAAAAGGAAAGCGATCCACCTCATTGAGGTTTAATGAAAAAGTAAGTACTGATAAATTCAATTTATAACATCCTTCGACATATCATGTCCAGAAACATAGTTATTTACAACTTGATTTGAAGCAAATATCCATGTTACTGGGAATCAAGTGTGAGTATTGGATAAAGGTATGCATCCAAGGGTATGCCAATTTTTTCAATTTTTTCCACGTATTTAGCCAGTTCTTAGAGGGTCATATTCCCATACTCATGTCCGAAACGGTGTCAAATATGGGTATCGGACATAGGTACTTTAAGAAAAATAACTCTCAGACCAACACAGGAAAATATACATTTTAAGACTGTAATGCTTTATTCCATGAAAAGATATGTAGTAAACAGTTTACCTTAATTGAAATAGCTGTCACACGGCCGCTAGTAGATGCCACATAAAGTGCTCTATGTGCCTATTGAAGCATAAACCAAAGTATATCAAGTGATGATAAACAACACCGTTAGAGTGATTTACTTGTAAGCTACAGTCTAAACTTTAATGTAAAATGTGATTGAACAAAAAGATAATCACCATGTGTACAACTATAGGTAAGGGAAAAACAATGCAATCTATGATACTTCAAGTTCTATTAGTCAAGCAAGAAGAGCAGACAATTTCCTTTATATATATATATATATATACAAAAGAAAACCAATTAGAGTTGTAATGCAAATTCTATTTGATTTTGGCAAAAGCTCCGGACATGATTAGCCATCTGAAATAGCCAGTAAGGCATAAGTTACTTAGACCAATACACTGTTAATTAACTGACCTCCAACCCATATTATTTTAGCTTCAAATAACCTCTCTAGTAAGGCTGAATTTTGGATAATTCGAACAAATAAGCAATTTCCCTAGGTGCTTTATGTTTGCAATGAGATAACACATCAATGTTTTTCATGCCAAATATCATAGAAAACAAGAATCTTGCAAAGCCCTTTAAACCACTTATCAAGTAACCCTAACTCAGTAGGTTTTAACTGATGGTAAGTTGGAATTGGAGCTGAATTTGAATATATCAGTATCTTATTCAGAATCAGACATATCCTGTATTACTTCTTTTTTTTTTTGATAGGATGTATTACTTCTTTAGTTTGTTTCAGGGCTCAATGCTGTCCCTTGTCACTCTAAGCCAATAATAAAGACCCATAATATCTTATCAAAAAAATAATAAAGACCCATAATATTCACAAGAAAACATATGATGATATATTAAAATTCTACCGAGTGAAATTACCCAGAGACTAAAAATAGACATGCCAGAAACCAACAGGATCATTTACAAAGAAACTAAACAATAATGCCATGCAAGTCATAATGTCCCTTGTCATTTCACCCCTAGAATATGACACAGAGATTGAGAAATAAGAAAAGAGAAAAACCATAGTGTTTGAGAACAAAAGGTACATTGAGCAGTTAGAAAGAATTTAATATTGAGACTATGTAGATTGACCAGACATACTGCTCAAAAATGGTTCCATCAGACAAATAAAAGTAAACGTTCAGTACATACTTGAAAGAAAAAAAACTCACCTCATCAACTGCAGGTGATCCAAATATACTACCACCACAAGGAAGCATATATAAACAGCACTTATTTACATGATCAAGTGCATATAAGTAATGGTCATGTGATCCACACCTGCATACAGTTCTTCCAGAGATTAGATCATGTAAATAAGTCATCAAAATTCAAAGGCGGGTTATTGACTTAATTTGGAAATGTAAAATAATAGTGAATTTCCACTAATTGATATGTTGATGGCAATGACAAAAATGATATTGAAATGATCATAGTGCCGGTTGTAATGGTTCTGAATACAATAACTGATAACACAACTCATTAAAAATCAAAATGATAGTTATTCATGTGTAGTTGTGATAACATTGCGACCACTACCAAACATAAATAAACAACTGTCCAACAAAATGATTCATTGAATTGGGTTTCATGAAGTTCTAGCACTGCAACTTGCAGTCTGCAAGTAGTAAGCAACATGCACTCCCTCTAACTGGAGAATGGAACAGAATATCGACTTTAAAAACTGATTATAGAATCCATATGATGAAAGAGTTATCACTTCACTACTGTAACAGAATAGTCAATGTACTTGTACCCAAAAAAAAAAAGTCAATGTCGCAGATATATACCAAAATATTACTATATAGTAAATGCCACTCACCCCCAATACAAGTAACCCGTGACATCTCTCTATTTTGTTTAAAGCTGCAGAGGAAGAAACTACCTTCTAATTATTTACTATATAGTAAGAACCTATGTCCCAGTTATTTTTGTTTGGGACCCCAGCCATAATAATCATCCTACAAAAATGGTACTTTTTTCCTAACAAATCAATGTATTATTAAACCTAGGTCGATGCTGACATCAAAAATTTCAAAAATATATCTTCTTCACATCATCTTGAATTACTAGGAAACTTTCAATTGCAGCATATGTAAATTACAAGGACATTCAAGTTTAGATCATCACATTACCTATCTTGATCAACAGATCAAGAAGAACAATTCTTAAACTTAGGACTCCTTACTAACCAAACTTTAAATTGCGCATTGAATAACCGGCAGCAAGCCATTTAAATACTTGCACACAATTCAAAATACGATTAAGTTGTCACCCACTAGCAAAGAAACAAGTCCAAGTATCAAAACCACAATAAAAGAAAATAAAGAAAATGTCAGAAGTTGATTAACAATCTGAATACAGACACTGATGTTGGTAAACACTGTTATCAATACAAGTATACAATGCATTTTCCTAAACAAAAAACACGCTACAGATCCATGCTCATCTGATGCAAAGGAAGAATACCATAATCTTGAAAATTTTAGCTCAAGGAACATTTTTAAATTATAAGAAATAGAATGAAAATGGCAGCATGGTGAAGATAAAAGCATTCATGAATCGAGAAACTCTTACCAGATCAATCCCATATGCGTGTCCACAATTGGCTGGCATTTGACCTGCACACATTCACAAAACAAAAGTTCAGCAAGGAAATAAAATGTTTACTGCAAAGCAGAATAAAAAACAGAAAATGGTTTCAACGACCTATAATGATTATATTAATTCTCAGGGAAGAAATGTGAGATTAACATTTCAATATGAAGGCAGGCAGTGAAAGAGAGAAAAATAAAGAAGCAAAAATACTGCAGCTTTATTTAAATGCTTATATTATTTTTAATCCAGTTCCATAGAGACTATTGATTAAAATAAAAAACACTCCACATTGCTACACAATTCATCAAAAACATACATAAGTTGAACATTAATTTCAAAAGGCATTCAAAGTCAACAACGAGACTTAACATCAAAGCTTTCTTCACTTCTGACACACAACACAAGAAAACTTGTTCCCTGATCCATGCACATTTATCTCTAACACAAGAAAATTTAACATGGTAAAGCTTTTTAAACCACATACCTCACCAGATGTACGGAAAGTCCAACAAATGTTGCCATTTAAAAACTCAAGAAAATATATGTTTCCATCATAGCATCCCACAACCACCTATCGGCATCAAGTATCCAGGAAGCAGTAAAAATCTTTAATTGCTCAGCTGCAAAAGGAACCTATATAGTGAAGGCAACAGAGAAGAAATGATAAACAACCTGGGAGAAGTCCCCTACAATTGCCGCAGAACCTTCAACTCGTCCTTGTAGTCTGGTTTCCCACTGGATAAAACCACTAAACCAGATTAAGTAGTATTACAACAGTTGAGATAGAACATGAATAGCACACAAGGAAATATTAAGAATATTTCAAGCATCATGCTTAGTAAATTCCTCAAGACTTCAACTGCATCACCCTAATGATTAAATTTCTTCCCATCTCTTAGTCATCTGGCAAATTTTACTGCAAGGATATCAGAAATGTTGTCAATGGAGAACATGGGACATGAGATAAAACAGTCAGTGCTGCCTGATGAAAAATATTACAGTTCGCATCAATTTAGAATTAGATAGTCTGCTAAATCATCCCTCACAAATTGGTAATACAAGATATGAGAAATTTGGTATCTGGTCACATAGAATATGTAAAATAATTTGGAAATAACAATAGCCTATGTTACTTGGACTTGGGTATGAGTCATGGATATGATTAATTTTTCCTTAAAAAAATTCATATATTGAGAGTCCTTGAGAGGTCATACCGTCATAGCCCTGTACATATGGCCGAAAATCATTGGACATGGACACTTTAAAAAAAATTGTCAGGGTAACATAGTGTTACAGGCCAAAGTTTGAATAACGGAAAGTCGGGGCTTGTAGACGTTGGAGTTGTTGGCTGGAAAGTTGTTAACATGGCTGAGTCCAATAGTGTTATGTACTAGCAATGTCATTTTGTTATTTTGTTACTTTGGTTGTTCTACTTTATTCTTTCTGATATGGTTAGTTGTTTCCAGATTTCTAGGGACCAGGAGGGAAAGTCTTCTTTCATGTGTAAGAGCTGATTTCGGAATCATTATGAATGAATTAATATTGGATTCCTTCTCTCTCTCTCTCTCTCTCTCTTTTTCCTTTATACATGCAAAGGTCAACCCATCTGGCCATGAACTATATTTTTCCCATAAATTAATGCTTATCTTGATGGTGAAATAAAACCAGCAGTAGCACAAGTCATCATGAAGCCCTTCATACCAATGAAACCACATCTCCAATGAGAGACACCAGTATTTGTCATATATCCCAATAATTATTCACACATATGGTTTCTTCTATGTCAGTAACTATTAGAGAACTGAAACATTAAGTTAATGAAATAAAACACAGACATACAAAAAGAGAACACCAAAAAAGGGGATTTTAAAAAAAAATCATTTTTTCAATAGACGTTGAAGTTGAGCATGTACATTCAAATTGCAGATATCCAATTTACATACAGCCTACTCATCATGTCCACATTTCTAACATTCAGTTTAACATTGAAACATGACATTCATATGGTTAAATGTCTATACACCAACTTAAACAATTGTTTCCATTAACCAGAATGACCACAGCAAAACCATTTACATTAATATTTCTTAAAAGGGAAGATGCTAATTGGGTGCATGTACATCTAGAGCTGAAAGAAAATATTGTAAAAGCAATCATAAATCCAATTCGGTCTTTTAATTATTTAACGCTGATCTGGTGGGAAGACAAGAGAAGGGTATTCCTAAAACAATTTGCTGGGTTCCTCCTCCGGATGGTTTTCTAAAGCTAAATGTTGATGGAGCGATGGCAAAGGGCTGGGATAAGGGGGGTATTGGTGGTCTGATTCGGGACAGCAAAGGCGTGTTGCTTCATTGGTTTTCAGAAAGTGTTGGGGGTGGTCCTCCTATCTTGGCTGAATTACTGGCGATTAAGAGAGGGTTATGTCTTCTGGATGATTTATACTCTGTTCTTAATCAGAGGACTATTCTTGAATCAGATTCAAGCAATGCTCTGAAGTGGATCATGAATCCGGGTTTATGCACTCCTATGTTTCAAGCATTGGTGAAGGATATAGTATCCCTTATGTCAGGGAAGAATATCATTATTAAGCATATCTTGAGGGCTGGAAACTGGAAAGCTGACAAACTAGCTAAAGATGGGATAGGGTGATGTTATGGTTTATGTCTGTTTGGGTTGAGGTGTTGGAGTTTTTTTCATATGTTGAGATGTTGTGTTTAAGTTTTATGTAATTCCGGGTAGTGTTTGCAGATGATTTAGATCTGCCTTTGTTGTACTATTGTTTCATCTAATATATTGTTAGGCACTCTTTTCCCCCTTCTCTTTCTTCTTGTTACTTGCATAACATGGAGGGTGGAAAGGGGGTTTTAATGGGGCCTAATTTTCTATCCAAAAATAATAATAATAATTTAATGCTAATAACAAAGAATCATTATGAAATGAAGTTGTAAAGAAGATCTACTGAATGAAATAAAGAATTAATTCATTTGTTTTCTCTAAGTGACTAGGGTGAGATCCATACCTTTTGGCATTAATGCAGAGGAACTTATGTGAGTGAGATCCAACAAATAAATAAATATCAGAATCTTTGAAAACAACAAGTGGTGAGGCATCAACACAGGACTCCATGTGAACTTTCCACAGTTCTTGCAAATATCCTGTTCTACTTCCTGAAACTTCCACCGACTGAGCTTGCCAGTTACCATTGACTACATGTCTGCCTTCACGCATAACCTTGTTGCAGCGGCTAAATGAACATGACTTGGGCATCGGTGAAGAGTTCCATGGATATCCACAGAACCAGTCAACGGGCTGCAGGGCATAATATTTATCTAAATCCACCTTTAATCGTTTAGACCAATCAGCTTGATCATCATTCCTTTCATAAGACGTCCGTGAAAATGGTCTTTGTAGTTTTAAGCCTAGGGTATTAAGAGTTTCAGATTCAATAACAGAAAATTCATTCACCTTGTTCGGTTCCATTATTGATTCTGGGTTATCATTGGTTCCAAATTTTGTATTATTTGATACCTTTTTCTCCAGGAAGGAAGCTAGTAGCTTCGCAGGAGTTGAAAAGGTATACATCAATCTCATATTAATCCCGAGATTATGAGAAACATATGCTGCAGCGATGGAGTTACCACCTATCATAAAGAAATCATCATCATCTGAAACATCTTCCACCATTAATGCATTACAAAAAGCCTGCAGAATATTCATAAAAATAAGGTTAATTCTTCATTTAAGCATTCTGTATTACTTTCTTCATTCGTGAAACATGACCAGTAAGAGACTTCAAGTTTCATCATTTTTTGAGCAAATCATTAACTCCTTCATCCAATTTTAGTTCTCCCCCCCCCCCAAATAAAATAATCAGAAAAGAAAGAAAGAATCAAGGTAATATACCTAGTCTAAATCATTAAATTAATCTCTATATGAAAATTCACATATGGGTCTCTCCACTATATCACTGCTATTAGTTTTAAACTTTTAATACATCCATGGTAAAAATCTCCCAATAATTCCTCCAAAGATGTTAACCAAAAGAAGAAACTAAGGAAACAATGGTGCTAAGGGAAAAAATGACAGGGAGAATCAGAAACAGAGGAAACCTTTTTTATAACTTGCATGAGATTGCTAGCCCCAGTGTCACTAATCTCATCTTGAACATGACTGACAGAGAATATTGAGTCTGACAATTGTGCATAGTCTACTTTTCCACTGGCAGATATTGGCAGTGATTCCACAAAAACAAACCGACTAGGAACCATCACTGAAGGAATTTTACTGATCATCCAGTTTCTGATGTTTTAACAATTTCAGCAGACTTCACCTTCTCTTTTAACAATATGAATGCTATAATGAATTCATCTTCTCCTTGATTCTTTTGAAAAATAACAGCAGCATCAACAACATCACTATGGCCCCTTAATGTATCTTCCACCTCTTCCAAAGCAATGCGTTGGCCATTAACATTTATGGTACGGTCCTTTCTCCCCAAGAAAACCAAGTCCCCACTCGGTAACAGGTGAGCAAAATCACCAGTCCTAAAATATATCTGACTTCCACAATCTTCCATAGAACACTTACAGATTGACTTCCGGTGCAACTTTGCATTTTTAAGAGGTATAATCGCATTTTCAAAAAAGTAACCAGTAGAAACACAAAGACCTCTAACGAATATTTCTCCAACATTAGGATTATTGGTTTCACCAATAAGTACAGTACTGCATTTGGAAATAGGCAAACCAATTGGAACACTTGTTAGTTTCTCCATCTCCAAAATTGACGGCAACCTCTTGCAGTCAAAATACAAACAATCTCCAGATACCTTAAACCACAAGTTCAGACGTTAGCCTACAGAGATAAGTTCTACAGAAGTATGATGATAAATTGGTAAAACAAGCATAATTCCTTAAAGGTTGAACTAAAGTACAAAGGACACCAGTATGATAAGTCTACCATAACACCTATGTTACCTATGATTGGTTGCAGAAGGCTGCTATCATCCGTATAGCTTGGAGTGCTTTTAATTACTACATTTGGCAAGAAAGAAATAGTAGGCAACATGGTACGGCTGCTCGTCAGTGTTCAGCTATTTTTTCTCAGGTAAAAAATGATACTCGACTAAGGCTTAAACCTTAAAGGACATAGTAAAGTCTCTAGTTCAAATCCTTCTTTAGTTACTGAATGGAGCTTATAGTTCAGGCTCTTTTTGCTATCTTTTCGGATTTTTGATCTGATTGTGGGTATATTTCTTGAAGTTGCTGTAGTGTGGGATTATAAAATTATTTGTACTGTGGTTCTTTTGGATGAATAAAACAAATTTATCCACAAAAAAATGATTTAATTATAAGCTTAAAAAAAAGAAATTTTCTTTCTAGATGATTCTTCTTGAAGAATGATATTAAAAATAGAAGAATTTTCTGGTTACTTCATTCTCATTTTCTATTTGAGAAAATCCTTAAGAAAAGCCTTAAGAAAGCATTATGTTAAAGCTGTAAATGTCTCTAATAAACCAAAGTTAATGTTATATAGCTATTTTGCTTAAATCTATCTTATTATATAGCTATTTTGCTTAAATCTATCTTATAAAAAAATAAGATTTACTTGTGATTATAAAAACCCTTTTCTACCTTTATCCATGGATCTTTTCCTCATTCAATCAAAACAACCAGAGACAAGAATAGCAACAGTTGTTTATCTTATTTCCATCGACAATGTTTACATTTTTGGGCTGGGGTGTAGTGTTCTGAAACTAATGTCCCGTGTAATTATAGCTAAATCTCCAGGATTTCTATGCAACTAGCTCAAGCCTCAAATAAATAAAATAAAAATAAACTTAAGGCAAATACTGTAGGCAAGATAAATGCTTGTAATTTGTCATTTAAGTAATATGTCATTTGTTAAATGCTTGTAATTTGTCATTTGTTAGCATGCCTTTATGTGGAGAAAGAAAGGGAAACAAAAAAGAGCAAGATAAAGGGAAAATGACAAAAGGAAAACACAAGGAGTCTTTGGTGGCCTATGACACAGAAAATGGAACAATCTTCACCTCAATAATCAATTTATGATTAAATGATGCACCATTAAAAGTTGATAGAGATAGAGAGATAAAAGGACCATGGAGATGCATGCAGGATTTAATTAGAGGATTCAGATATATACTTCCTCACAAACTTCTACAGCCAGCCATCATGAATTAATCCATTAAAGTAGAAATAACACAAAGTGAGAAAATACCTCTGTGCTTCCATACAAATTCAGAATAGTGGTCTTGGGTAATAAACTGGAAAGCATGTTCCACAAGGATAAGGGTAGAATTTCACCACTTAGAATTAACAACTTCAGAGAACTTGAAATATGAATATCATGTTGACTTTGCATCACAGGAAGGATCATCCTCATAAGTGATGGAACAGCTGTGAGTCTATTAATGCTGTAAGCCTGCAACAGCAGTGCAAAATACTATTAGCAAATAAACTGAAAAATCACACAAGATATTCATAAAAAAGACATCTTGTGTGAAAAAGTTGCTTAAAGCAGAAACTTCACAAGATTTTCATCCAAACCATGTGAACATAATTACAGATTTCTCTCTTGTAACATGATTTGATTCAAAGAGAATATTCACAGGGGACACACAAGAAGTTACTCATTTTCTTCTTGACATGATTTTCTAGAGCACATTCTCAGGATTTTCTTTTTCTGAACTACATCTCTAGTTAATCCATACATTTCAATATTCTCTTAATTTTATAACAATTTTATTCTTTACTTCCATGCACATATTTCATGTAGTAAATCTTTTTCCGTGCACATAATTCAAGCATGAGCTCTCAACCTGGTATTGGGGGCAGCCTACTACCCTACCTCCCCCTTACCCCATTGCATATGGGAATAGGGTTTTGTTGTTGTTGTTGTTGTTGGATAATTCAAGCATGACTTAAGACATTCACTTTCACCAAGCCAACGATGTCTCTAAGAGGCTATTGACAGATTTTTATCAAAAAAAGCTATTGACAGATGAAAGCTGAAATAAATAGACTTCAGCCATCCTCCCCAATCACGTCAAGCTATTGAGATCTGAATGAATAAAAGTCCTAAGTTGTGAAAATGATAACACATTTGCAGCCAAGACCCAAAAGAAATCACCATGTTAGACGTCTAAATAACAATTTAGTGAAATTTAACCCTTCAAAGTTAAAAAGTTCCTTCAGCTCATTACTTGTCTTTTAATAGGCTTTCACCTTCGACCACAGAGTATACAACAGAAAAAGTTTTAATCATTCAATGCCGAATTAATAACTCTTTTAGCAGCATTTCAATAATTGCAGTCATTACAAAACAATGTGAATTCAACTATAAACTTAAGAAAACATGAGGATGATAAGGGAAGCATGAAAAGATTACCTGGAGAAAATCGATGATAGAAAAACATTTTGTTTTAACTCAGCAAAAGGAGGTATGACCAGTGTACAAGTAGTAAGAGAAGCAATAAGAAATTCTTGCAGATGATCAACAAAGCTTATTGATGTCTTGAATAATAAAAGTTCCTCTCCTTGAGTGGGATACAGTTGTTGCATCCACAGAAAGCGATTTAAAAGACCTTAAAAAGGAAGAGGAGGGTGCATCATCACATTGAACTTCACATGCAAAAGCAATGATAAAATAACTAGCCTGAAGAAAAAGAAAAACTAATTGAGGGTGTGATACAGGCATTGATAAGGAAAGAAATAAAGTATCATTTAGAACTAAATACAAAACCTTTATGTCCTCACTTTGTTGTTTGATCTTTCTTGAAGGTCACAGGGTTTAACAACATGAATAATAAAAGAGTTTTGCTCGACTGGGTTAGGATTAAAACTTTCCGGTTAACGTTATGTTGTGGCACATAGCAATCAAAAGATGGGGAAGCAACAATTTTTTTCATTTGAATGCACTATGCACATGGTAGCTCAAGATAATGAATGGATTAATTGGTCAACGATACAATGATAAATCGATAATATGATAACAAAACTGCAGTATCAATTGTATTGACCTTTATAAGGGAACACAATCCTGGAGCAACTTGTATTCAAATCCAAATATACTCCCTCCAATTATCCGAAATAGATTAAAGCAAAAATTTCTTAGTTTATTCTGTTCCTTGGTTCAACAGAACACAAGCCTCAAACAAACCCCTCTACAAGCTCAAGTGGATGGTTTACGACTTTAAGATAAAGAAAGGTGGTAAACTAGCAGTATGAATCACAGGACATAACTTAAATCTCTCAGGACTCACGAAGTATTAACAGGTTATGAGCTTTGTATAACTTTGTCTAGCCGATTAGTTGCAGAAAGTTTTTTACTTAGAACAAAGATATGATGGAACAGTTACATTTTTGTTATGAATTTTGGCCTCTTTGGTTCAACTAGGACCCTAGTTTTGGACCCAACTTTCTATGAAAAGAAAACGTAACACTGACAAGATGAAAGAGATAACATGGACCAAAATTGTGCAAGAAATAAGATCAATAAACTATTGCCAGCAGCCTAGCGGTACACAGAAACTATGGTAGTATACAAATCACAATAAAAACATACCTTCTTCTGTGCCACATACACCTTTAGGCTTTTCAGCAGATCCTGATGTGTACATTAGATAACAGAACAATCTTTTTCTTTCATTTTCACAAGGCCATGCAAGACTCGGTTGACTTTTATGCGGTTTGATCCTTGCCTCCATAGAAAAGCGCAAGATAGGACAGCTACTGCATTCGGAGATCCAATGTGATTGATCAAGCAGCTCACTACCGCTTTCTCCAAACGAAGATCCACACATGATAACAAGAGAAGCATTTGAAGAAGTCAAGGTCGACAGTATTCTATCTCTCGGCCATGAAGGATCGAGAGGCAAGAAAGCCTCCCCGCACTTCAGAACAGAAAGAACAGAAACTATGTATTCCACTGAAGGTGGCATAAAAAGTGCAACTGTCTTCGGTATATACATATCCTCAAGGTCAGTATGTTGACAAACTCCTCGAATGAAATTCAATGAAGCCTCCGACATTTGAACAGACCCAGGATGCTTTCCATTGGACTTATCTCCTTCATTGATACATAAAATTCCAATAAGGATGATAATAATAATTAAAGAAGAAGAAAAAGAAAAGAAGCACACAATTCCTTCTTAAAACAACAAAAAACTTGTACACAAGTCTTAATGTTTCTAATTAATTCATTTCTTTTTCCTCTTGCACACATTATTGGCATGATATATTCACATGCATTTCATCAAATCTTATAAGAAATTAAGAGTTAAGAAACAAACTGAAATTCCTTTAAAAAGTATTTTGTTGTAATTTCTCCTACTTTCTCCTTGAAATATCAAATATATATTTTTGTAATCTATACAAATTGTCTAAAATACTTAATAATTTTTAAATCTAAACTCCTCTTTTTTCTAGCAAGTGATATTCAAACAGAATCTAAATAAACAAAATCATAATTTAAAGATGTAAAGAAAACATTACCTGAGGTTTGGGGTTTAATCAAGTAAGGGTCATCAGCATCACCGAGAACGGAACGTAGGCGAAAACTGAGATATTCAACGGAAGCTAAAAGATCAGCGAAAGTGAAACACCGGTCGCCTTTATACACGGGAGGAATCCCACCGTTGATCAACTCTCTGTCAAAATGGACCCCAGTAGCTGACGGCTTAGATGGTGAGGCGTGGATGATGGCTATTTTTTCTGGGTTTTTGCTCGCGGCTGTGTAAAATTCATGGGATAAGCAGCAGTGCTGCTGCTGCGTCTCCTGCTCGTCGTCACTCGAACAAGCCATGCCTTTTTTTTTAGTTTCTTTTTAAAAATTGAGATGTTTCGGATTTGGTGCATCATATTTTATAGTAGAAGTATTAATCGGGCCTAATTAACAAAAAAAATGTTCCTATTTGGGCTTCAGTTAATTGGAGGTTTTTGGAATATTTATATATTTTAGTATTCGATTCACTGATTGTTTAATTTGGATAGTATAATGTAAAAGTTTATTATATTCTTAATTTGGTTTATTTCATTTAAGATGTAAAATTTTAAATTTATTTTAAAAAAGTTAACATCTTATCTCATGAAACTAATTAATAATAGTATATCTTATCACATTTTCCATGCCAATTACCATCCTGTATTTTGGCTGGATGCCTAGCATCTTCAATGATTGGTATAACATTTGTTCATTTTATGGTCATTTTAACTAAGTCTCAGCCATTTCGGTAAAAAAAAATCATTGTATAAACCACATTAGTAGGAACAACAATATTAGATACACGAAAAATAGTAGCTACAAGGTAGAGAACCTTGGCATCGATGATTGTGGATTAAGCAAATAGAATTGAAGATTGTTTTAAAGAACGTGGGTTAGAATCTGGTTAACAGTGATTTGATTGTTCGGTAGTTGGTCTCCACCTGTTTTGACGAAATACAATTAGGATTCTGATAGCTTTTGTGTCCTACTGTTTTTTTCTTTTGGGCACAAGGATGTGTCGTTGGATCTTTAGACCTTCGTTTATATATGAGAAACAAACTCGAAGTGCTTCATGTGGAAGCTGCAATTTGTTGGAATGAACTTATTGCAGCAACGTAGATTTCTTTTTACTAGTTATTCTCACCCCAAGTCTGTTTGCTTGCAATTCCGGTGCCATTATGCCTGCTCTTTATCAGATACAAGGCTGTAGACAAACCACTAGTGTCTACTTCATAGGGTTAGGATGTGATTGCAACTCAGAAACTTTCTTTGGTAAGTGACTTCTGCATCTTTGCCCCAGGTTGCGATCTTAGTTTTAAAAAAAGAGCGCCTAAGGCGCCGGGTGAGCGCCGGAAAATCACCTCCGGCGACACAGGAGAGGCGGTGAACGGCGGGCGCGCGCTTTTGGCACTTTTCCGGATAACGCAGGCGTAGGCGCTTCTGCGCCTTTGGGGGAGGGGAAAATTAATTTGAAAAGTCAGTCCCCTGCCTCCCTCGTCACCACAGCGCAACCACCACGCCTCCGTTGCACGCTGTCAGTCACTGGTTGTCAACCGCCAGGTCATCATCTCTCTTCTCCGTCGCGCACACACTATTTTTTTCTTTGTATTTTGTTCATTTCTGCCAACCGATTTTCTCCAAGAAATGCAAAAAAAAAAAAAAAGAAGAAGCAGAGAAGAGATCTGCTTCAATCGGCTATATATTATAGCCAAGTAGAGTGAATTATAAACATTTGATGCATTCTCTTTTCCCAACTTATACAGGTATAGCAATACATAATAGTGTTAATCTCATCTTCTTTTCCCAATATACTATTTAATATATAATATTTTTTCCATATATAACAATAACTAATAGTATTAATGTCATCTTCTTTTCTCAATCTACTATTTATTACATTATCTTTCCCCAAATTATATAGTAATTAATACTTAATATATTATCTTTTATTTATATTTGTTGAATTTAACTTATATTATTTTGAATATTTATCATATGATTATGTTATTAATATTGAATATTTATATTGATCATCATTTTATTTTGGGTAGAAAGTATGTTATATAATTGATTTATAAATTTTTAACATAGAAGTGTGCCTCGCCTACGAAAGGGCCTTTCGTTATGCGCCCAGGCTTTAAGAACCCTTTGCGCCTTTTAAAACTAAGCTTGCGATGTTAAAGTTAAGGGTTCTTTTGCAGGACTGAAACCTATTATTTCTAACCAACAACAAGAATGAGTCCGTACATTTCCGGATGAAACTTCTTCCGAAAGATTTCCCGTCTATTATTTGTTTAATGCAACATGCAAGGTGCTGGACTGAAACTTGAACATTTCTTGTTCCTAAAATCTTTTTTCAATCTAACAGATCTTTCAACCTTTCTCTTGGACTTCTATATGTATTTGAGGTGATCTATTTGGGAGAAATGAAGAATGAATACACGTGTGTGTGTGTGTGTGTGCATTGTTCAATCAACAGGAATGAACATAGAGATTTACTAATCCTTGTACATTGGAGTTTCAGAGATTTACTCCTGATTATTAAGCCAACTTGCAGGACATTGTTCTACACAAACTGAGCAACAGACCTTATCTACAACAGACAGATTTTGATAGAAGAAATCGAAGAACGATCTACTCGATCTCTTGACGCGATGTTTGAAACCAAACAATTGCGAGGGTCACAAGGGATGCATAAATCGAAGTGGGTACCTTTCGCACCACCTTGCCAACACCAGGAACATCCTCGGTCGCCCTCTTTGCCGCCACAGCTACAGTCGGAGCGACAACCAAAGTGACAAGCAGTCCCTGGCTAACAACAACGAACGTGTCGGCTGTAAGCTTCTGAACAAATTCCACAACCACTGCACATTACCTGCATCATTGATCTGATTTGGTCCTTCGAGGGTGGATCAAAGTGCGGTCCAGGCAAACGCTTGTTAATATCACTGTAGAAGGAATAATTCAAGCACCATTTAACTTTGATAAGGGTTAACAACACATCTACCCTTGCATGATTAAAAAGAATGAAGAATGAATGAAACTAGTAAGTTTGAAGCAAAATTCCTCACTTATACACCAACAAGACAGCAATATACAGATCTTCAAACGTTAACTTATTTCTTCCAGATTGGTTTTTGATATGCTCAAAAACCTTATCACTGATTTTCCGAATCTGTCTCTTTCTCCAGTCCCTCCCTGCAAAAACAAAGCTTGAAACTATAAAAAAAAACATGCTGATAGCACTACAAAAACTGCAGGTTCAGTTGTTGCCGTGTACTTCAGTAAACAACACCTCCAGCCGACTTGAACATCTATCCATAATAATTCTAGATACCCATTTCTTCAAAATAGTAATTAAAGATTCAAAATAATAATATAAATTAGAAACTAAACTTTCCATAGGAAAAAAAAGAAGATATTTTCTTGTTCATTTCTACAAAATATGCTCTTTAAGAAAGTAGCATACTGCTGAAAAGGAACACTTTTATGGAATATAAATTAAAATAGTTCCGATTGTTTAGAAAGCATGCAAAATCAAGTCCTGGGTTACAAATATCGTAAACTTTTGGATTATAAGGTTGGAGATAAGGGAACTTCAAAAGCTTACCGTGAAATTTATCTAGCACTTGGCCCATGATTTCAGAAACGACGTAGCTTTGGAGAGTCTAGGGTTTCAGTTTGCCGATGACACAAAATGAAAGCAGATTCGATGATGATGGATGAACTGCGGAAGGAAGATAAAGCAGAGAGCCAGAGACGGAGGGGGGAAGAAACATTTAATTGGAAAATTATTTTTCAGAAGTGACGTGGCACATTGCAATTGGGTGACAGTAGTAGTAATGAAGTATGGTAATGTACTTCGCAAAAGCAATCTTCACATTCCATGATTGACTTTTTAATATATATATATATATATATATATATATAATAAGAATGATTGAATTTTTATTAGTAAATACAGATTTTATTTTGTAATTATTTTAAATTAATAAAATTATGACTTTTATTATTTTATTACCAAAAATAATACCTAGGGCTGGTCTTTTTCATGTATATTAGATTTAAAATTTTAAAAAATAGATTAACCCTGATCGAAATAGTTGAGAACATATAGTAAAATTGCACAGTGGTCACCTTCATTAGGTAAATATTGAATTTCAGCGTCTCCGATCCATAGAAGCTGCCGTGTCGAGTGGAGCGACTTCCTCCTGCAAGGTTTCACGTGGTGCTTCATGCCTTTACGAACAACTTGTTTTTTCTTTATTATTATTATAAATATTGTTTTAAATTTTGGGCCCAAAACCATGTTGATGGATTGGATTTCTTTTCAAGATAATTAAAACCGACAAACTTGATCTAATTAGATTAAGGGTCAATAATTAATTGATTTGAACTAACTTGAATTAAAAAAATATTAACTTAATTGAGTTGATAAATTTTATTTTATAATTCAAACATTATTTTAATTTTTTAAAGTCAAATTTTTATTTAAATTTAATTGTGAATATTTATAATGTTATTAAACTAATTGATTCAAATTTAAATGATTTTTTATAACTATATACTATAAACATATATAATTTTTCATAATTTTTTATATGTGATATACATATATCATACAAAGTAATACTAGCAAAATACCTCTTATTCCTTTCTTTTCATAACAAAGTAATGCAACCACTCCAAGCCAAACAAAACAGCTAAGAAAGAAAAGACTTACCCTTGCATTGGTACACGCCCAACTCACTCCATATTCTAATTCATGACAGGTTTAGAGAGATCACAAGCCCGCAAAATCCATTCCCAAATGTATTTTAAGTAATTTTTTTTTAACATTGAACGGAGTTAAAAATTTGATTTTTTGAAATATTTTATCTACCATATTATTTAAAATTAGGGTAATTTACATGTTTAGCACTTAAACTATTGTTTTTATTTTATTTTTATGGATAAGTCAGAATTTTATTATCCAAATAGCAATATGTTACAAATACAACCAGGGTTCAATACAAATCATTTACAATACAATAATCAGTGGTCATCAATACCCCAATGTCTGTAGAGAGTAAGATTCACATTATCTACTCTATTGAATTTCCTACCGTTTAGTTGAAGACATACAATAGATTTAATATCTTTTAGAAGTTCATTTATAGGCCTAGATCGGCCTTGGTACAGTCTTCTGTTCCTTTCTTCCCAGAGCAAGTAAACCAATGCATTCAAAGCAATCTTCATTACAATAGATAACAATGACTTTCCTTTCCAATTTGAGCTCACCATTTCCAAGAATTCTTCCCATAAGTAGCTTGTAAAATGCAAACCAGAAAAAGAGAAGATGTGTTCCCAAAGAGAAACATCAGTAGGGCATAATAAGAAAAGGTGATCCCTAGTTTCCACTTAAAAGTTACATAAAAGACAAGAGCATTCATTAGTAAGACCAATTCGGTGGAGACGATCCTTGGTAGGGAGTCTGTCAAGAAGAGCCATCCAGGTTATCATACTATGTTTTGGAATGTGCAGGGGAAACCAAACGAGTTTATGCCAAGGGACCTTCTAGTTTTTCGCCCGAATGGAATCTCATATCGAGCATCCATTGATAGGACCCGGATGAAGGAAATTTTGCACCTCTGGTCTCAATTTAAGAAGTCTTATGAGACACCAGCTAGAGTTGAGTTTTGCTTCAATTGACCAGAAATCTTTGTTCTTAAAAATATACCCAAAGTGAGCCTTCACCAGCAAGGATTTGTTTGATTAAGGCTAACATACAAGCTTTATTCCAGGTCTTAATGTCTTTGATCCCAAGACTACCTTCCGATTTCAAGGAGCAAATTTTGTTCCAACTCACTCGTGCTCTTGTTGCTGATTTGTCAGATCCTTTCCAAAAGAAGCGGGAACAAAGCTGCACAATTTTTTTTTCAAGATTGAGTTAGGCAGGAAGAGTTGTATGCACCAAAAATTGGTAATTGAAGATAGCACAGTTCGGATGAGCTCCAGCCTCCCTGCGTAGCTGAGCAGTTTACTAGACCAGTGGTACAGTCTTGATTTAATATTATCGATGAGGATCACCGATGAGGATCACACAGTCTTTTTCAGAGATTTTCCTTGTGAACAGCGGAATTCCTAGGTATCGCACTGGCAAAAAGTCAAGTTTAAAGCCAGTAGCTTGCTTTATAGTCTCAATCGTACCTGAGGATATTGCAGCTGCATAGAATTCACTTTTATAGGCGTTAATTTGAAGTCCTGACATCTCATAAAAAGTGTCCAGGACACTTGTAACACTAATAACAGAATCAGTTGTACCCTTACAAAAAATGAGTAAATCGTCAGCGAATGATAAGTGGGTCAAGTTAATTCTTTTGCACTTAGGGTGGTATCCAAAAATATCCTTGGCAGCTGCGAAATTAAGGAGGAAATAGAGGACATTCATTGAGAGAACAAAGAGAAGGGGAGAGAGGGGATCTCCTTGCCTTAAGCCTCGAGCTCCCTTAAAGTATCCAGACAAGGTCCCATTAATGGAGACTGAGTAGCTTGATGTGGTGTAGCAAGTTTCAATCCAAGTGATGAAAGTCGTTGGAAGACCAATAGTCTTCAAGATGGCTGAGATGAAGCTCCAGTTAAGGGAATAAAATGCCTTGTGGAGGTCAATTTTCAAAGAGCATATTGGAGATATATTCTTTCTATTGTAACCTCTTACCAACTCTTGTACAAGTAATGTATTTTCTGTGATGCTTCTAACTTTCACAAAAGCTGTTTGGTTAAGAGTTATTAACTCAGGCATGATACAGGTTAATCTTCTTACCAGTATCTTTGAGATTGCTTTGTAGAATACTGAACATCAAGAGATTGATCTAAAATCCTTAACTTTACTAGGGTTAGGGATCTTAAGAATCAAAGCAAGGACAGTAGCGTTAAAAGGAGGCAGAAGATATGAATCTTTGAAGAATTAAGAAATTGCAGCAATAACGTCGCTTTCAATAATAGTCCAGATTTTTTTGAAAAAGAATGGAGAGAACCCGTCTGGACCAGAGGATTTATCGTTTCCTTGACTAAAGAAAGCCTCTTTAATCTCCTCTTTAGTGACGTCCTTTATTAGGGCATCAGCCTTCTCAGGAGGAAGAGTTAAATGATAGAGGTCCTTTAATAGTTTAGGATCAGTTTCCTTGACTGGTGGATCAACTTTCCAAAGTAAATTAGCGAAGAAGTTAGTGATCTCTGTTGAAATTCTATCAAAGGTTTCCAGTTTGTTTCCTTTCTCATCAATGAGGATACGAATTGTATCTCTTTTGTTTTTAAGGGCAACAATGGAGTAAAAGAATTTAGTGCATTTATCACCCTCTTTCAGCCATTAGACTCTTGATTTCTGTCTGTAGAAAAGAGTTTCTGCTTCCTCAAGATTTTTCAGCTCATTCTGGAGGAGAAGCTCTTTTTCAATGCCATCGTCTCCACGAAGAGTCTTAAGTTGATGGAGTTCTAGTTCAGAACGTTTATGATTAACCCTGGCAGGAAGGTCACTATAGGAAGAATTGTTAAGAGCCTTGAGAAAAGCTTTCACCCTTTTAAATTTAGTGAAGAGAGACTACATTGGATTCCCGTGAGTAGGTTTAGACCAGGTTTGTTTAACCTTATCCAAAAAGTTGGGGTGATGGGTCCAATAGTTAAAAAACTTAAAAGGCTTAGGTTTGTTTATTTTAGTTACCTTATTGAGCCAAACTTTTGCAAAGCAGTGGTCAGAAATTCCTGGAGCTTGAACCTCAACATGCGACGTCTGAAATAAATTTACCCAGTTTAAGTTAATTAAGACGCGATCAAGCTTCATTGCAAGGAAAGTGTTCTGTTGTTTGTTTCAAAATTATACTTAACATTTACATTTAGTTTATATTTCATTTTGGTACCCTGACACTAAAAATTTAACGAAACTATTGTGTGTGATATTTTGTATGAGTAAATTACATAATTCATCACTCAACTATCTTCTCACTCCTATTTTGGTCACTAAATTTAAAAAAAAACAATTTAACTACTCAACTTTCAAATTGTTCATGTTTTAATTACTCTAATTTTTTTTATTAATAATTTTTTGAGATGATTTTTTATTATTTTAATGATATATAATTAAAATAAAAAATTAATTTTAAAAGTTAGAGTGATTAAATTAGGAGTAATTTGAAAATTAAGTAATTAAATGTAAAATATTAAACTTTAGTGACCAAAATAAGAGTGACATGATAGTTGAGTGATAAATGATGTAATTTATCTCTATAAAAGTGTCATGTTATAACAGTTATGCTAAATTTTAACGGTGAGGTATCAAAACGAAACAAAAAAGTAAATGTTAGGTATGATTTTGAAATAAATAAAAGTTTAGATACCTAAATGGGACAAAAGTAATAGTTTAGATATTAAACCTGTAATTTACCCTCGAATTTATTTGTAAGTGCTTGTTGTTCTTGCTTGGCCGCCAGCAGCCTGCCTGCTTTCCCTGTCGTTTCAACCAAATTATGTAGTGAAGACAAAACAAGACTATAGTATATATATGTATGTCTTATACTATGAAAGATGAGCAAGGAAACAAGAATGGCGGAAGAAGTAAAGCTGTTGAAGACATGGTCATCCCCTTTTGGTTTAAGGATCGTTTGGGCATTGAAGCTCAAAGGCATAGAATACGAATCAATAGACGAAGATCTCTCCAACAAGAGCCCTTTGCTTCTTCACTCCAATCCCATCTACAAAAAAATCCCGGTTCTCATCCACAACGGAAAACCCATCTCTGAATCAGTCGTCATTCTCGAATACATCGATCAAACATGGACCCAAAATCCCATACTACCCCAACATCCTTTCGAGAAAGCCAGACAAAGATTCTGGGCAAAGTTTAACGACAACAAGGTCAGATTCCAGCTCCTTTAAAACATACTTCACTGTTTAGTAACTCAAATTTTCGATTTGCAGCTTATACCGTCAGTGTGGAGTGTTTTCGTTAACGAGGGAAAAGAGAAAGAGGAAGCGTTGCTGGAGAACCTGAAACTTGTGGAAGAAGAGCTGAAGGGAAAGAGATTCTTCGGGGGAGATAAGATAGGATTAGTGGATCTTGTTTTCGGTTGGCTTGCGAACTTGATGGGTGTTTTCGAAGAGGTGACTGGTTTGAAACTGATTGACGATAGATTTCCATTGTTATCTGCTTGGATTCTGGAATTTTCAGAAATCCCGATTATCAAAGATAATTGGCCATCTCACGACAAGCTCGTCGTCAAGTACCGAGCACTTCATCAGAAATTTCATCCTCTAAAATGAAGGGTTTCCATGGATTTGTTCCCATTGAAACTTATGTTATCGTATGGATAATAAACTCAAACTGTTTTCTTTACAAAATTTGCAAATAAACAGCAATCAGGCAGGCTCTTTATCGAACAAAAGATTAAATTCTTCTAAGATAGGCGTCACCATTCTTGCTTAGTTAATCTCTGCCATGCAAAGAGAATAAGATCATCTGCACAGATACAGTGCACAATTTAATAAGCCTGATTTTTTTTAAATAAGAATATTTCTTAATCAATTGAAATCATGAAATACAATATTTAAAATACAATCGGAACATTCAAATTTATAAAACATTAACAAATCAATATTTAAGAACCATTGTATCAAAGCGTGAGCTGCACCGTTTGCTTCTTATTTTAAAAACCCAACTTTAATATTTCTGTTACGCAAACTAGTCAAAGTCCTTTGAATTGATTTATGATTTGATCTTAAATCATACTCGTTTTATTCGTTTTAGTACTTAATTTTCTTTTGTCCCACTTTGATACTTGAACTACCATTTCCTTCTAAGTTCATAAAAAAATGATAATAAGATCATGACATGTATGTTATTAGATGACGGTAATTCTTTTTTGATAACAACATAAGACGAAAGTAATAATTATTCCGTATTGAACAAAAGATCAAACAAATCATACTAAAACGTTGCAGAAAACAATGGGGAGGCTAATTCTTGGAGCAATCGGTGGCCTTAAACGACAGGGTCTGCTTTTCAGTATCATATCCAACCAAGAAATTCATCTGAGCCAAGTTCTCCAAGATTGCGAAATCCAGAATCGGAGCAAAATTAAAGCAAGCAATTATTTCGAGACTATGGCGAAGTTGTTCAATGGCTGCAATTTTACATCTGCACCTGTGAAATGAACTGTAATATCTGGAACTGCAAAATCAGTTGTAGCATCGTAACATAAGCTCAGACCCCCTGGACCTTTAACCTTTGTCGCATTGATCATGCTAGACACCGATGATTCAAGTTGGGAGTAAAATCGTCCGGTAAAAGTGTCAATGTTGTTCCAGAATCGATCATGATGTTCCCTTTATCTGTTTCGAAAGGCCTATTTGTGAATTTTACTCATTTGTTTCCGATACTGATTGCTTCCAGGGTAAGTAGAAAGATGGAGGGTCAAGTTTATTCTGTTGTTTAGGGATCAGTGTCATTGGACATGATTTGAATAAGGTTCAGCAGTTATATGATGCTGCCAACCAAGAAGTCAGTGTAGTTGATGAAGTAGTAGAGGCTAAATCCAAGTTATTCAAGGCTCGGATGATCTTATTTCTCCTTTCCAGTTTCTATCAAAAAGTTTGATCCTTCTGTATTTATTCCTTGATTATTTGACGTCATTTCTTTTGTTCCAATGTGGCCATCTAGCTATATTCTAACTGTTGGTTACAACATTTTCTTTTCACTTCCACAGGTGCTGGTGCTTTTCAGATTAGTTTTATGGATCCCGCAGTCTCAAGGTTGGAAGCTGCATTGGCAGCAACCCGGATCGCAATTCTAACAATACCTGTTATATCAAATGCTGATGCTTAGCCACATGCAGATTCCAAGACAAAAGTCAGGTAAGCTACGTCGTACATGTCTCTTACCCTTGTGGGCAAAGATGAACAAGTTCACATCAAAATAAAATATAACAAAAGTACTATCTTCTGAAGTTCACATCAAATTCATGGCTTCTTTTATTGTCTTAGGCGAATCTGAACAAGTTTTGGGCAAAGATGGAGGCAGGGAACAGAGAGCATATGTGTACTACATGCCGAATATCCATCCTGCCAAAGGGCTAGTGGTCTACATTTCTACAATTCAAAACCTCAGTTAATTAGTCAACAAACACTAGCACATAATGCTGCGCTTGGAAAGAACATTTCAATTTCAATACTTGAATTTTCCGCCTTAAAACTCAAAACATCCTACCTCTCGTTTTTCATGCAGACAAAAATAGAAAATTATATGACCATTTTACAGGATCCTGGCTAGAATATGACCATTGATATTTATTATTCAATTGATTATGACAAATACCTTGTATACACCCTTTGTATGCCAGTTAAATTGACCTGTGACATGCCAGAACTGATTTACCATCCTCCTCAGGGAGCAAAACTTCCCCATTGCTTTTGTTGTTGCTAATGCAGCTGCAGATTCACAATTCCTTATGTGCCATTTTTGGTGTTAGCATTGGGTTCATGGAATAAAGTTTTTACTGCTTCATATGTAGACCAGCAGATTGCAGCAGCAGGAGCATGGAAAAGCATTCGGGGAATCCATCCCCTCATGAGGCCCATGTAGCCGTCCTTCCGCACAATTGTTTCAACCACATCCCCAATAGAACTACTCTTAAATCTAGCACATCCGCATACACCCTGTGATACAATTTTTAATAACAATATTACAACAGTCAGCAAAGCAAGATGCATTATTAACAAAATTAAAAAGTTAGGTCATTAAGCATAAATATAAATCTTAATGGATACAAAACAAACATATATATATATATCAATTTTTGTCAATACCTAAAGTCAAAGTGAAAGAGAAAGCAAAGCAGGATGGACAATAAATAAAGACCTTAGGAACAAGCACTTAACTACACATGTATCAAATATAAGGAAAGTCTGAACATTATATTAATACATAACTCAAGAATGCTACAAACATTCAGTTCGAGAGAAAGGTCTCAATCATCCAATGGTTTTGTTAAAGGAGTTACTGGCTGCAGTAACTAAAGATTAGATGCCGCATCTTCTCACTTCTAGCATCATATTCAAGATGAATGTTCAGTTAACCGGATAAAAAATGATACAGAATCTATCACGATACAGAAAAACAAACAAGAAAGGTAGGGGACAATTGTCAATTAAAACTATCCTAATCATTTAAGCATTCTATCTATTCATTAGATGATTTCAACAAACACTCAATGATGAATGAACCAAAAGCAAATAACTCATTACACCATCTGTCTGGAAACAGAGACAGTCAGCATTTCCAATCTTTCAATCAGGACAACAAAGGATTAACCATGTTCACATTGAAAACAGCAGAATATTAGCCCACCTTCTTCATTATCAATGCATAGAAGTTTTCACTCGCGGCATCCACTAAACAATATTCCTACTATAGCCACCATAAACTGATTACAGCTTCAGCTGGTTGCAGCAAAACACAAGAAAGCAAGGGGAAAACGCCAGAGATTGAATTACCTGACACTGCAATTGAGTTTTAACTACATCAAGCGGGGTAGTGATAACCGCAGCAGAAGCCCCAGCAAGAGCACCAGCCGTAGCGTGGACAATCACCCGTTCATCACTTACACTCTCTGGTGAAATCTCAATCAAGCCACTTTTCACCGCCTCATAAGTTGAGAAATGAACTGCCGTATACGGCGCATTCATGAGCACTGTCGTCCTGTAAGAAGCATAAAACGCCCGAAAACCTTCCTCTTTCATAACTTTTTTAACACAATCAAACACACCTTTATAAGCAGCACTATTGCCCAACTGTAACCTCTGTTTCACCATATCCATAGGCGTAAAAACGGCGTCGCTTGCTACCGTCGCAAAAACACCGGAAATAGCATGAGCCGCCGGGTTATTCGGGTTCTTACCGGAAAAATATTTCTTGCAAGCCTCGTATACAGAGAAGTAAACGGCATGGGCGGGGCCAGCCCCAAGTCCCATGGCCCCGATTCCCCGGTACAAGCCCGGGAGTCCTTCAGATTTGAGAATGGAATGTAGCGCGTGGCGTACACCCACCGATTTGATGGGGCAAGAGCCCAGCGCTTGCATATGGGTCTTGATGGTGTCAACAGGGAACATAGCCATATGTTCCACGCATCCCGCGACGGAGCCAGCAATCATGAACTGCCAAAAGTGGAGCCCGTCGTGGGGACTCACCAGCACTTCTGGGTGAAAATCCGGTGGCTGGGGCACCGGCCTGAAGTCTGAATTTTGGAAATTTGTTGTGGTAGCTTCTGTTGCCATCAAGAATAAAGAATTGATGTAAAATTGGGTTTTTTTCGGAATGAAGAATTGGGATAATTAGGGTTTTGTGAAGGTTTTAGAGGTGGAGTTATAGCCACATAAAAGTTCTACTCTTCTAAATGGGAGTTAGGATAGAATTGCATATTTGAAGGGAGAATAAATATCAAGGATCTGCTCCTTTTTTGTGCTTTTCTTTACTGTGACTTTGGCTTGCCAATAATAATAGGTTTTGAAGGTCTAACAAGCCGAGTTGCATTTAGGGTTCCAGGAAAAAGGGTTTCTTTTTAATTATAACGTCAAAAACTTTTAATATAAAAATTTGTTTGAACTTTTTAGCGGTCAATTGATACGCATATTGTTAATTAATTATGAAAATATTAAATAGATATTATATTTTAATTATATTAAATTATTGATTAAAATGTGTTTAAAATTTGCGACGTTATTATTTTAAGTATATGAACCTTTAAAATCATTTAAAATTTTCACTAAAAATCAACCAACTAATACATGTTTGACATGTAGTCTAATTTTTAATTTCCTTTGATTTTCTTAAACATTAAATTCACAAGTTTTTTTAAAAAAATCTTGAAATATTTTAAAATATTAAAAAAGAAAAACCAAAACCTCTAATTCTTTAATTTTTTAAAAAAAATTAAAATTAAATGGTTTACAGATTATTTTAACAAACACGGTGGTTTAAATATTTAAAATGACAATGTTAAAAATTTTAAAAATTTATTTTAATTAGAAAATTTTTAATCCCTAAACGGAATATATATATATATATAATTAGAGCACTTTTTCTATTAAACCTAGGGAGTTTGGAAAATTTTTAATTTAAAGAATCGATATTTTCTCTCTTATTATGTTCTTTAAACTTTGACCTGACAATCTATTGGGTTAACCGTCGGCCAAGTTTGCACTTTGTAGCCATAAAGACGACCCAGTATAGTCTAATTGCTGCTTGCTGTGTGATCTATTTTTCTTTGTAAAGAGAACTGAAAGCATGGTTTGTTTGGTTTGACAATATATGTTTAGCTTCAATTAAACGAGTCTTTGTAATTAGTCAAACATAAGTTGAGCTTGGTTCGGCTATTGGATTAGTGGTAAAATGCAGTGAAATAAGTTAAATAAATTTGGTGCACTCACCTAGCAAATCCACAGTAACAGATGAAAATGGTGAAATACCGAAAAACATTGCAGCTAGTGGTGGATCTCATGTCTCAACTTTGTTTTCAGCCTGTTTGGAACTGTCCTCTCAAGAAGAAAACAAGGAAATGCTACAAATGTGCCCATGCATTCGATTAAACTATAATGTTGTAAAGCTTGAATTGCATTTTAATCAGGCGGAATTGTAATTTTCACAAGACTTGCAACATGTAGTTCCGGACGTGCTCAGTAAAACTATTAATCCTGTTAATAGTTTTTTCAGGCCACCCAAAAGTTCTGAACTCCACTCATGTGCAAGGCGAAAACAATTTCGTCCATTTGGGTGTTCGAAACGGAAAGGAAACCTCCCAATGAGATGTAGAAGACAACATGCTTGTTGAGAACCCAACCACTGAAGGTAGGGAAATTATAAGTTGCTCTTAAGCTGTCCAAGACTTGGGGTTCAAACTCGTACACACAAGTGAATAGGGGATGTTGTGCTTGTAGCACTCCAGTCAAGAGCAAGTTCCAAGACTCTACACAAGTTCTTCAACATTGGATGAACAAATTCCTGCAATCTCTTCTACTTGTTCTATTGCAAGGAAGAATGAAAAAGAAACAATTAAATGTGCTTATATTGATTTCACAATTGAAGGATTGTTCACTAATTAAGCATCCATTTTATTTTGTAAAGGGGAAAGGGTCTATATTAGATCAATTTTTATGTAGTTTTGCTTTATATGGAGGTCAAAGTAACGGAACATGGAAACACCGAATGATGGCTATTAATATAGCCAATTCAAGTCTATCAAGAAGCCGTTCAAAAGGAGTTTCCATCTTTGTCATCACAACATCGTAGCAGCCAGGAAAGTTGGCGGCCCTAAGCCGCTCAGGTGGGATGAAATTTGGGATTGTCTGAAAATACTGTCATCAGGTTCGGGATCGGAGCCGATGAAACCAAGCCTTTCTTCTGTCGCGACCATGGTGATGAGAATATTTTTTTAAGCAAGTAGCTTGCAAGGTTCATCATGGGCTTGATATTGTTGGTAATGGAAAAAATATAAGCCACTTTGATACTGTTGATTATATTTTTTTAATCTTATTGAATGATTAAAACTAAGGTTTATGCATTTGGCTTGTGTCAAAGACATGTAATGCATGGATCTTGATGCGGATATGGGAGGTGGTTTTCATCCGTTGAAATTTGTTTTGCGGCAATTGTATTTCCCACAGATATGGTCACGTTCAGGAAACACATGTCCACCACATGGCACGCCATGGTTGTTTGCTCGTCGATTGAGTCCATGTCTACAGCTTCACTGAGTTATTTGATGAGTTGGGGAGAGGTGATATTTTTGAGCGATCAGTGATTGAGACCAGAAGAAATGAGAAGTTCAAAATTGAAACCATACAGAATAAACTACTGATGTGGATATAACATATCTTTGTAGGACTTTATGGCCGAAACGATAAACCAAGGTTTGACTGTTATGTTTTCTGAATCATCATCGATATCAACCTGTCAATTTTGGATTGGAAACCTTCTTTTCAGAGGGATTTTAAATATGGAACACCGCTATCTTGTAGCCCAGCAGCAATTTCATCCATTTGGTCATTTGAAACTGGGAGGAAACTTCTTAAGAAGGCGTCCAAAACAGAACACGGAGGATGAAAATCTAGTCATTGCAGATAACAGGGGAGATTCTATGAGGAGATCTCATCATGTTCAAAGTAAGGGGTTCCAGAGCCAGTCGTCTATATCGGAATATTGAATCTTGCAATGCTTTCAGAGTGTCAATAACATGCCCTTCAAGCTCAAACACTGAAGTGAATAGAGTACATTTGGCTTTTGGCAACCACGAAAAGCATTCCAATGCGAACTGGATGACTTGACTTGTACTTCCTTCAAGCATCATCAGAAGGTCGGGTGAAATTCCAGGGTTCAGCCTCCAAGCTCATTGCCGTTATCTGGAATTGTGCAGGATCGGATGAAACCAAACCACTCTTTGCTTTCTTGAAGCTATTAACTTACACAGGTTCATCATAGGATTGATATGGACTCTACCGAGATAAGGTATCGCCACCACACGAGTGGTGGTGATAGGTTTCATGTCATGTCAATAGGATTTATGCCAGGGAGCAAGTAGTAAAGAACTCCCTCTGAAAAGCTACGAAACATGCATGCTAAAGAGGCTACTTACAACATGTCCAACATCCTGTCTTTGGATTGACGTTGATCATCACTTACTGCAAATTATATATACGTATAAATCCAAAGATCTAACATTCCTAACACAAAACAATCTCAGATCCAAAATGACAGCCGAAACACAAAATGAGGTCAAATTACTTTTCTTTCCCCCTTTCTTTCAGCTCAAAATCAGCAACAAACACAGCTTTGAGAGCTAACCTAAATCAATTTATGCATAATAATTTATATTAAATTATAATTAATGGAACAGACACCTCCTTGTTAAAATTAATAAAATGAGATTTAAAATTTACTTGGCGAGAAAAGAAAAATACAAGCCATGGTGAGCTTGCGAGAGTATGATGAGGCAACAGAGCAATAAGTGCATGTGCATTTAAGAACAAAAATATTAATGAGTTGGATGTGTGGCTATGGTAATATCGATAATTGCGAAGTTGAGTTTCAGCTTTCTGGTCCGCGGGACTTGCCTAGCTTAAAATTGAAAACCACCAAAATGTCAAGGAAACAAGGCGAGGCCAAGTAATTAAATTAATTTAAAATGGCTGCAACCCCTGTCCCTTTCTTCTCTTCAATTACAGCCATCCCCAAGCTCAAGTCCTTGCTCTTTCACATTCACCTTCCCCCACCTTTCTTCTCCTACTCCGCTGCCAACAGCACCCTTTTTATTAGCCGTTCCACTTTTCGATTACCAAACTCCCGAAAACTCCGCCGATATCCAAGCCCTCCCGCTGCCGCCATGATCTTTCCTCAATATCCGGTCTTTTCTGACGCTTGCGCCACCGTCGTTAGCGGCTTCATCGCTCTCTCTGTCCTCCGTGTCTGGCAGGAGACCGCCAAAGGCGGCCTGTTTGACCAGGTCAAAACTCCGCTCCACGTATTTTGAATATATTCTTAGTTGGAGTAAAACATTCTTCTTCCGGCGGTATGTCGGCAAAAGCTTGCTTGCTTGGGTAACTGTATTCACCTAAATACTCACATTATTGCAGACTTACTGTTAGTATTTGTCGTTTCTGGTAAGGCAATATTTCATTTGAGCTAAACATTTAGGGAGATATTATTGGTGATTTTAATACTTTTAGTCGAACCCGGTGGTTTCTCTGACTCTTTTTGCCGCCGCCGCCGCTTTCTGCGGCGTTTCTCATACTCCTCTCAATTAGAGGCTTTGCTTTGATTGCTGAAAGATGCTCTCTTTCGATTGCATCAAACTTCAGATTTTAGGATTTGGATAATTCCATCCCATTCCAATTCTAATGTTACCCAATCGCGGAGTTGTTGCCATCAATGCTTAGTTTTTTTTTCTTTTACCCTTTTTCCAATGAGAGTTTCTTTTTTTCTTTTTGATTAGTCTGGGGTGAATAATTAATCATAACGATTATCGAGTACTAATTGGCCTACAGTTCAATCTTCAGGAAATTAATTTCTGTATTTGTGTTATTTTTTTTATCCTTAACTGGAAATCAGAGCTAGCAGCATGTGTTTACATTCTCATCTTAGATTGTCTGCGCTTTGCTCTGCATCATGAAAAAGTTTTACCTGCTCCCGGAGAGCGCTTCATGAAATATTGTATTTCATATTGTGTAAATCTGTGTATTTTTGGATTTATAGTTGTATGAACTATTTCAAATTAGTCGCATTTCTCATCTCCCATTTGGCATCTGACTGCTCCATTTTCATAACGTTGCTGCTTTATGCCTAATTTGTATGTAACATTATAAATGAATCAAATGCTATCCTAATCAATCTGTTTCTGTTCAATTCTATCTAGAAATGATGCTTACATGTTACAAGTATACAGTTTGTTCCTAGGTGAACTTGTCTATTAGAAAGATAAATTTCTTAGCAGAATTTCCTTTTAACAGTTTCTCGACCTCTTTCTTTTCTGTTCAGAAACTGAATCGGAAGCTTGTGCATATAAGCATTGGGCTTGTTTTCATGCTTTGCTGGCCATTATTCAGGTTGTCTTCCTATTGAGGCATCTTTATCTTGTTTTTCCAGATGTTGCCTGATGAAATAGTTAACACTTACCGTTGCAGTTCTGGGTATCGTGGAGCAATTTTAGCAGCTGTTACACCTGGCATCAACATTATACGGATGTTTCTTGTAGGTTCTGGAATATGGAAAGATGAAGCCACCGTGAAGTCAATGAGCAGATATGGGGACTACAGGTGAGGATGGAGATGAAATCATAGTTTATTTATTTATATGTTACAAGCATTAGCGATATTTCTTGTGACTTGTGAGTAGCTTTCTCTGTTGGGTATTTGCTTCAGCGGAGTAAATCCGACAACTTTTTGTGTGTGTGTGAAGTTGACAATTTCCTATTGTTTAATCCAGCAAATGGAGTTGTATATCATTCTAGGCATCAAATGAGCCATGGTCTTGAGATAACAGATCATTAAAGAGGGAAAATAGTGTGTTATTTTTTACCCCTTTATCGATCGTTTCTTGTTTGCTCCTTTCTTATGACTTCTTTAAATTGTCGCTCACTCACTCCATTACATCAGGGAACTTCTTAAAGGACCACTCTATTATGCTGCAACAATTACTTTGGCTTGTGCACTTTACTGGAGGACTTCACCAATCGCAATTGCTGCAATATGCAACCTTTGTGCTGGAGATGGTAATAGCTAATTAAGTCATTTATTTTTCCTGAATTAGCTAGACTTAAAGCTGCCCGAGTGAACATCTCAAGCATTTCTTGGCAATATTGGATGGGGTGATTTACTTTGAATATCTGTGGTGAACTGGTGATCTTTTTGATCAAGATGCATGGTTGGATAATTATATTTTCCTATTTAAGGCATTGCGGATATTGTGGGAAGGCGCTTTGGTGGACAGAAACTTCCTTACAATAAGAACAAGTCCGTAGCTGGTAGTGTTGCAATGGCAACAGCTGGTTTTTTTACCTCTGTTGTGTAAGTTTTGTCTAGAATATCTCTTTTACCTTCTTTTCTTTTTCGGATTAAGGTTCAAGATGATTTATTGTTTTGTTTAATTCCAAGCCATGTTGTAACAGGTTTATGTATTATTTTTCCTACTTTGGATATATTGAAGAGAGTATGGAGATTGTTTTGGGTTTCTTGGTGGTGTCTGTTGCCTCAGCACTTGTGGAGTCGCATCCGATTAGTACTGAACTTGATGACAATCTCACAGTTACCTTAACATCAATATTGGTTGGCAGTCTTGTTTTCTGATTGAAGATTTGTAAGCTAAACAAGGAAGTGGGTAGTTGTAGGAGCATTGTTTATCTGGTACGAGAAATGTTGTAATTTAGTGTAACATGAAATGCTTGAAACGTGGCCAATGTTGATTCCACTGACATTTGAAGTTCAAGTCCCAAACTGAAACTGCATTTCTATTCAGTTATTTTTTTAGGCAAGGTTTGGGGCTATCTTTTCATCAATGTTTATGGTTTTTGTTGTTTAAACTTCTGAATTACAAGATCGCAACTGCCATAGAATCAAGTGGCTAAACATATATGCTCCGTTTAATGATAGAGAATGCAATGAGTTAACAATATTAATTTAATATGTCTATTTTGATACTATCTATTTATTTTACATTCAGTGAATTAAGATATAAAAACTCAAAAGGTATGAATAGAAAGAAAAAAAGAAGTTAACTGCTCTCTTAAATTTGTCCTTTATTTTTTAGGTTTAAATGTACTTTGTATCGAGTTACACTCAGAGAATTATTTAAGGCTAGAGAGGAGCAAAATAGTGGGCTTGGTTGGGCCATTAGCCTACCTACCCGACAGAGAGTTTATCTCTAATCGGCCCATGTTATCCGTGCTCCTCGGACTATGTCTATCGTGGTTAGGGGTGTTCATTCAGTTAATTCGGTGGCCGAACCGACCGAAATATCATTTTCGAATTAACCGAACTTTTTTTTTCTTTAACCGTTAACCGAACCGAATTTTTTTTCGAAAATATTAACCGAACCGAATAAATTTCGATTAATTTTCGAATTAACCGGAATTTTTTAGAATTTTAGAATTTAATATTTTTTTAATTAAAAATAACAATTTACAATTAATTTAAATAATATCTAATTATAAATAATATCTAATTAATTTGATTCAAACATTTTGCATTTAGTTTTGATATTATTTTAATTAATTAATATTGATTTGGATTTTAAATAGATTGGACCTCTTAATATAATTATATTTAAAGGTTAATTTGGTTAATTCGGTTAATTAACCGATTTCAAATCGAATTAATCGTTAATCGAATTCCAAAAAAATCTTTAACTGTTCCCCTGACTGATAATAATGCTAAATCTTTTGATAAACGGTTGTGATTGCAAAAGGTAGTAGTATTACATACACTGATTTCCTCCACGTGGAATCGCCCAAAGTCTTTAGCATGCACTCGATTCTTCCAACTTTTCTGGGAGGAGTCTACTCCACGAAGCTCTTTCACTCCCCCCCTGGAATCGATCTCCAACATGTAAGCCTTCTCTCTTTCTCTCTCAAATTTAAGCACAAATCTCTTCTTTTTCGTTTTTATACAATCTATTTAAATGTGTGAAAACGTGATTTCGAACCTGTGTTTAACCCAAAAATAATTTTCTGAGCTAAAATTGGTGATCGTTTCATATAATCAAGTAATTATTTAGTAAATCTTACGAGATGTTATTTGAATGGTCTCGAATTCAGTTTGCATTTTACCATCTTAATGAGTTTAAAGTTGTAATAAACGATTGCGGATTAAATTTGATGGAATTTATTATCAAAATAAATTCTTATGGTTGTTTATTAAGTTTTATTATCATTGTTGCCGATTTAATGATTACATGTTTATTGTTTATTGTTCATTTTTTAATTTGTTTTTATGTTAGTTTATTGTTAGGAGTAGCATTTGATTTAGTTTTTTGGATTTTTTTCTTCTATTTGATGATATCACTTAATTTTTTTTATAACTAATTTATGTATATCAGCTTGCGGTGTGTGATTGGTAGGCTCTTCCTGCTCTAATTGAAGCTTGAATTGAGGGCTATTGTTTAGTTTAGAGCTAAGGTTATATGATTCGGAACTCATGTCTCTACCAAATGAAGATAATTCTCAGGTAACCCTGTTCCCTCAGTTGACTCTTTTCCTATTTATTATTTTTTTTTGATAGGAATTGAAGGCCTCGTTAAAAACCTCATTCTTGATTAAAGGAGCTTGTAGAAAAGCTCCTTTATCAGCGGAAGGAAAAAAATAATTCCTTAAGATTTCATTAACTATAAGATACAACCAGATCGCCACCCCCAACATAAACAAACAACCAAAAACGACCGAAAACAACCCTACACAACAACACTAACACAACGAAAATCATCTTAGCTACAACAACCGTCACTAATAAGACTGACCAGTCTTAACACCTAAACATAGCCCGAAAACCAACATAAAAACAAAACAACTAAAACAAAAGTCGAATATCACAGCTGACTCAATCCAAAAAACCGAATTCAAAAACAAAAACCCTGAGCTTCCACACGAAAAGAGTACAAAGAGCAGCATCCGCCTTTTTGCCTCTTCTTACTCGACTTGTCGACATAGACCATCCGAAACCCCCAACTCCAAATCAGAAAACAGAAAAGAATCACCAGAAAGATTCACAACTTCCACAGCCATAATCTTCCGATATTAAAACCACTTTAGAGCCTTCAAGATCAGAAAAAAACTCCCCTTGATGCACCTTCCTCTGAGTTCTCTTGCTTCGACTTTAACGAGGCTTCCTTTGGTGAGCCGAAAATTTTTCTTGAAAAATTCGGAGAGAACTAAATATAGCATTTCTCTCCTCCAAAGCTCTAAGTTTATGACGCCCTTCCAAAATGAGGAAATCAATTAAAAAATCCTTAGATCTTTTGAAAGCACACTTATTTGTATGGCCCACATTAAACTCATCCTCCACCACCTTTGAATCAACATGTCCATCCAACATGGGGAAATGAATAGAATAATCTTTATTTCCCCCAAAAACACTTGCAGACTCGCAACTTTTCCTGCTGTCTTCTTCTGCCCCTCTCTTTTCGTGAACCACTACGTCCATGCTAGGCACAATGCCCTTTTTCAACAGCCCTTCTATAGGCACGTTTGGGACAACATGCGCGTTGACATCAAAACCAACGCAAACCTCCACCTCAGATCCCACGTTCTCCCTACACAAGACATTTCCACTTGAATCAATGGAAATATTCCTCTCTTTATTTAAAGCCACAATACCCATACTCACGTCACTAGCCTTGGTCTTTGGGCCCTCAATACACAAAATAGACTTATTGTGCGCATTACTATCGAGAGCAACACAACCCTCCAACACATTGTGCTCATGAACTTCGAGAACAGCAGAACACTCCAACTTGGGAACCACGTGCTCCCTACAATTTACCTCCAAATCATTCCAAGTGCCACTCCTCGGACAAATTGAAGCATGCGCTGCTACCCCATTACAAGCTGTCTGGGGACCAATGCCAACATCTCGGTCCTCTTCGAATCGAGGTTCTTCATCAACTTCCTTAGCCAAGGAACGCCGCGCTCCACCATCAGCAAGGGAGTCGTCTAAGACCGCTCGAGCCTTTTCATGAACTTCCTCCCTTTAAGTGGAGACAACAATTAACTATCCCATCGTAGATAACGGGGAAGCACCCTCCATTTCCATCGAATACGACTCTTCCCAGATAGATTCTGGGCTGAAGCATGGTTCAAACTATGAAACATGAACTGTAAAAAACCAATTCCCAACTTTCAAAACGAAGGATTCATCCACTCGATCTTTGCAGTTCGTGATGATCTGAAATAAAGCCCTGTCAAACAATCCGGGATTTAAAGTCCCTTCCTCAATGGAAATAAGCTCTCCCCATTTTCCTGCAATATTCCTGAAGGTGGAATTACTCCACGCAAACGGAGGGATCCCTTTGCACGATAACCAAGCACGGCGGCTACTGCACTGAAGCTGTTCCGACCATACTTCCACTTTGTCGAAGCATTTATTCAACGCCCCAATCTGATTATTAAGAGTATAATCCTTACTCTCTTCATCTTCAAATATAATTAAAATTGCTAGCCCGTTTAACCTCATAATTTTCGGTCCTAAGATGCCTTCCTTGTGCATAAAATCAGCTAGTTCTTTCATTTTTATGAATTTTCTGCACCAACCAACCAGGCTATCTCTAAGAGTTAGAAGCTTATCCTCATCAACAACACCAACAATAGGATCTTCTGCCTGACTATCATCCTCCATTCTACTCTTTTTCTCGGTTGGATTTGGACCAGACTTCTTCCTCCAGAAGGCTACACGAGGTAGAAATCTCGCCATGTAAACTCTAATTTTACTACCATGAATCCAGGATCTATCAGCACCGATGATAGCCTTCCTCGCGTCCTCCAATCTGGTAAAACGAACAAAGCCAAACCTACTACCTCCCTTGCTTCTTTTGTTGGGATGAAAGAATCAATCACCTCGCCATATTTATCAAATATTAGCCAAAGACCTTGATGATGAAGGAACTCTGGGATATTGAAGATTATAACCATTGTCACCATGTTTACCAATGCCTGATTTTTTAGAGAGAAGGAGGAGCTTCTCTCACTTAAATGTGAACAAAATATATTAAATAATTTAATAAGTGTGTGTATGTTATAACTCTTTTCCTATTTGAAATGAAGAAGGAATTCTAAAGTTGTCAGTAATTCATGATTTTATGTACATGAGATGAACAAGATTAAGGGTCTGTCCATGTTTCCCCCCAGCGTTCATTTAGAAGATTGAGACATGCTTTACTGATGATTGAATTGGACAACTTATCTTGTTTGGATGGTATTTCTTTGCAGCTTTCATCTCACTTTTTTGGGGATCTCTTGGATTCCGTAATTGTTGATGTTGCATCTGAGTGTCATCAAATAGCAAAGTTGGGCCTTGATCGTAACTTGGAGGAAGAGGAAGAAGAAATGAGGTTATCAGAACAAGCCCGAGCAAGGGTAGCTGATCCTAATAACAGTGGTGAAACAAATAACAAGCATGTGGTGGATATATTTGGACAAACACACCCTTCCGTTGTCAGTGAAATATTTGAATGCATGAACTGTGGGAGATCAATTGCTGCAGGGAGGATTTGCTCCTTACCTGGAGAAATGCATGGGAAAGGTGATTCTATCCTTAATTATCCTATCATATACATTTGTCTTATTTAAATTCAGTGTAATGTTCCTTTTGCATCCATGATGATATACTATGATTGCGATTGAGTTATTGCAGTAATCATCAATTCCGTCGATCAGCATACCTTACAAAGTGATAAAATTCCTTGTAATATCTGTTGCATGGTAGAAAGGCTCGTCTCAAGGTTACTAGGAGTAGCACAGCTGCACAAAACTGTTATTCACGAGG